TCTCCCTCTCTCCCTCCCTTCTTCTCTCTCTCTTAAAAAAAAAAAAAAGAAGAAGAAGAAGAAGGCCCTGGCTGGTGTAGCTCAGTGGATTGAGCACAGGCCTGCAAACCAGAGGATTGCGGTTCAATTCCCACTCAGGGCACATGTCTGGGTTGCAGGCCAGTTCCCTGCAGGCCAGTTCCCAGCAGGGGATGCATGAAAGGCAACCATACATTGATGTTTCTCTCCCTCTCTCCTCCCCCTCTAAAGATAGATGAATAAATAAATAAATGAATTTCAAAAAATTTTAAAAAGAATAGAAAAAATTTAAAAAAAATATATATATATATATATATATATATATATTAGTAGTGTGTTCCGAACTAGTCCGCCTTTCGATGGTTGTGAAGAAAGACATCCAGAGTCCCAAGAGCAGGAAAGTCTGCTATAGGGAACTGGGAAAAGCTATTCCCCTCACCTCCACTCTCTATTCCCCTCTCACCAAGGACTTGCAACCTTCGCCCACAGCCCACCTGGGAGCAGAGGATGTTAACTCTGGTTTTCCGTGTGGATGGATGGGGGAACTCGGTCCTTTCCCAACTCCCTTCAGAGACCATAAATTAGCCAAAGCCTAATTTTCAGGACTGGGCCTAAAGGCAAGGGCATTCTCATTCCTGAGACTGTTTGACCCTGTGCGGGGTCAGGCGTGGCGCCACCTGCAGGAGTAGGAAGACTTTACCCCTGAATCAGCAGTGCTTACCTATGGAAATACTGTGAGAGCCAGAGACATAATTTTCAATGTACTCCAGCGATGTTTAAGAAAAAAGAAAAGATGAAATAAATCTTAATAATATATCTTACCTAACCCAATATACCCAAATATAATAATTTCCACATGTTTGACATTCTTATCTTTCTGTCTTTGGAATCTGGTGGTTTTCACCTACACCACCACGTCTTACATGAGATTCGTCACCTTGAAAGGGCTCAGTAGCATCTAGACCATCCTTGGGCTTAGGGAATGACCCGTTGCTCGGCTTTCACACAACGACCGTGAACGGGTCCTTGTGTGGGGGTCTAGGTGAGGTTTGGGCAAGGCCTTTCTGGTTTTAAGGCAGAGCCTTAAGAGAGAACCACAGAAACCCCTTGAGGAGTTCACGGGTTGAACCCATCATAGCTTCTGAGGCTTTGACCTGAGCAAATCAACTCCAGGTTTTCTCAACAACAACAAAACCTGAATTTGCCCCTTCAGCCCCTTTTCCCCATTTCTGCAAATGGGCCAGAAAAACTCCAGAGAAAGAGCTAAACAAAATGGATACGAGCAATCTGCCTGATGCAGAGTTCAAAACTCTGGTTATACCCCTGGCTGGTATAACCAAAGGGTCACCAGTTCGATTCCCAGTCAGGGCACATACCTGGGTTGCAGGCCAGATCCCCAGCAGGGGCATGTGAGATGCAACCACACATTGATGTTTCTCTCCCTCTCTTTCTCCTTCTGTTCCCATCTCTCTAAAAATAAATAGATAAAGTATTTTTAAAAAACTAGACAAATTAAAAACACACTGGTTATAACAATACTCTATGAATTTAGGGGAAGAGTAGAGGAACTTAGTGAGAACATAAACAAAGAGATAGGAAACATACAAACAGATAGAAAACATAAAGAAGAAACAGTCAGAAATGAAGACTATGTCACAGGGAATCAACAGTGGAGCATATGAAGTAGAAGATCAAATTAGAGAATTGAAAGATAGGAAGGCAGAAAACACTCAATCAGAGCAGCAAAAATAAAAAGAGGCAAAAAAAATGAGGATAGTATAAGGAGCACCTGGGACAACTTCAAGTGTACCAACATTCATATCATGGGGGTGCGAGAAGGAAAAGAGAGAGAGCAAGAAATTGAAAACCTATGTGGAAAATATAATGATGGGCCCTTGCTGGTGTAACTCAGTGGATTGAGCGCGGGCCTGCGAACTAGAGGATCCTGGTTTGATTCCCAGTCAGGGCACATGCCTGGGTTGCAGGCCAGTTCCCAGCAGGGGATGCATGAGAGGCAACCACACATTGATATTTCTCTCCCTCTCTCCTTCCCTTCCCCTCTAAAGATAAATAAATCAAATCTTTAAAAAAAATAATAATGATGGAAAACTTCCCTAAGCTGGTAAAGGAAATAGATACAGCAAACCAGGAAGAACTGAGAGTCGCAAACAAGATGAACCCAAAAAGACCCACACCAAGACACATCGTAATTAACACAGCAAAGGTTGAAGACAAAGAGAGACTCTTAAAAATAGCAAGAGAAAAGCAGTTAGTTATCTATAAGGGAGCTCTCATAAGACTGTCAGCTGATTTATGAACAGAAAATTTGCAGGCAAGAAGAGATTGGCAAGAAATATTCAAAGTGATGAAAAGAAAGGAACGCCCTGGCTGATGTGGCTCACCTGGTTGAAGCATCATCCCGTAAGCTGAAAGGTTATGGGTTCATTTCCTGGTGGGGCACATGCCTAGATTGTGGGTTTGGTCCCAATACAATAGGTCCCCAGTTGGGGCACTTACAAGAGGCAACCAATCAATGTTTCTCTCTCACATCAATGTTTCTCTCCCTCTCTCTCTCTCCTTTCCTTCTGCTTTCTCTAAAATCAATGGTCATGCCCTCAGGTGAGGAGGAGGAGAAGAAGAAGGAGAAGAAGAAGAAGAAGCAGCAGCAGCAAGGAACTACAACTGAGATTACTCTACCAAGCAAAACTACCATTTAGAATCAAAGGAAAAAGAGCTTCGCAGATAAGGAAAAAGCTGAAGGATTTCATCGCCACTAAACAAATATTATAAGAAATGTTAGCCCTGGCTGGTGTGGGTCTGTGGATTGAAAATACCAGCCTGCTAGCCAAAGGGTTGCTGGTTCAATTCCAAGTCTAGGGCACATGCCTGGGTTGTGGACCAGGTCCCCAGTAGGGGGCGTGCAAGAGGCAACCACACATGGATATCTCTCTCCCTCTCTTCTCTCTTCCCTCCCCTCTCTAAAAAGAAATAAATAAATAAGAGAATGTTTTCTGAAAAAGAAGAAATGTTAAAGAAGAATGTGTAATAATAAGAAGTTTAAGAAGAAAAAATATTAAAATAAGAATAATACATTGGCAATACATATATATCCATGAACAACAACTTTAAATGCACCCAGCCCCAACAATGATCAATATAGACCTCTATTGTTTCATCCATAAATCCATGGCCCCCTCTATTTAAAAGAATCCACTAAATTCTTTTAAAGCAAGCCCTCCTCGTCACACCATTTTATCCCCATCACCCACTTTCTTCCCCAACATTTTTTTAATGAAAAGATCTAAATACCCCCAAAGTTGAAATAATGTATAGTGAATATCCATATATGGCCCCTCACTCCATTCCGCCGTTAGCATTTCACTCCACTCGCGTTATTGCATATTTGTCCGGCCCGCCTTCCCTCTCTCCACGCATCGACCCATTTTGTGTTTGTGGTTCATTCAAAGTCAGCTGCGGACGTCAGTGCCCTTCATCCCTCTTGTGGGTTGAATCATGACCCCTGACGATGGAGAAGTCCTAACCCCCAGGACCTGGGGATGTGACCTTTATTGGAAGATGATCAAGTTAAGATGAGGTCATTTGGGTAGGCACTGGCCGATATGACTGTTTCTTTGCTTTTTAAAAAGATTTTATTTATTTATCGTCAAAGGGGGAGGGAAGGAGAGAGAGAGAGAAATATCAATGTGTGGTTGCCTCTCCTGTGTCCCCTGCTGGGAACTGGCCTGCAGCCCAGGCATGTGCCCTGACTGGGAATCAAACCGCGATCCTCTGGTTCGCAGGCCCGTGCTCAATCCACTGAGCTACGCCAACCAGGGCTGACTGTGTCTTTAAAAGGGCAGAGATTTGCCCTGGCTGGTGTGGCTCAGTGGGTTGGAGCAGCATCCCCCATGCAGCCCGAAGGGTCCCTGGTTCTATTTCCAGTCAGGGCACATGCCCAGGCTGTGGGTTCAACCCCAAGTTGGGTTGCATGCGAGAAGGCAACCAATCAATGTTCCTCTCTCTCACTCTCTCCTTCTCTTCCTCTCTCTGTGGTGAAAAAATGTCCTCACGTGAAGATATAAACAAATAAATAAATATTAAAACGGGGAAACGTGGACACGGAGCGAGACAGGGGCAGAGAGAGGACAACACGAAGACACAGGGGGACGATGGCCATCTGTAAGCCAAGGGGCGCCTGAGGCCACTAGAGGCTCCGGGAGAGGTTGCCCCATTGCCACGGGTTCTCTCTCACGGCTTCAGGAGGAACCAGCCCTGCTGACACTTTGGCCTTGGACTTCTGGCCTCCAGAATGGAAAGTCAATACATTTCTGTGATTCGATTCCCACCGTCTGTGGTATTTTGTTACAGAACTCCTGAGAGACTAATGCAAACCCAAGTCCTTCAATGCCTGCTATCATTTAGAGTTCTTTTTTTTTTTTCTGTTTTTATTTATTTTTTTAATCATAGGCAAAATTCACACACTATAAAAGGCTCAAATCAGCTGGTGTGGCTCAGTGGTTTGAGCTCTGACCTGTGAACCAGAAGGTGGCTGGTTTGATTCCCAGTCAGGGCACAGGCCTGCGTTGCAGGCCAGGTCCCCATTGAGGGGGGTGCACAAGAGGCAGCCACACATCAGTGTTTCCCTCCCTCTCATTCTCCCTCCCTCCCCCGTCTCTGAAAATAAAAATAGTCAAGTATGAATGTGGGGCGGGGTCTCAGGGACCCCAAGGTTGTGCTCAGGGAGAGGGAAGTCGGACCCCTCCCAAGAACTGGGAGGCCCATACGTGGCAGGTTCTGGTCTGAAATGAACGAGCGAGAACTAGAATCTGGACAAGGAGAGCTCACTGGGACCCCCCTGGGGGTACCTGCTGGTGAGCACTGCCCTCCCCCCCTTGAGTGAGGCCCAGTGGTTGGGCCCTTTGTGAGGCAGGCTTGTGGACACAGGAACTGCAGGGTCAGTGGTCAGAATAGGTGGAGAGCCCCTGGGAGCAGGGCCCCCACCCGCCATGGCCAGCGTGGTGGTGAAGACGATCTGGCAGTCCAAAGAGATCCACGAGGCTGGGGACCCCCCTGCGGGGGTCGACAGCCGCTCCCAGATTGTCCCCGAGGCTCCTGGGGTGGTGACCAGCCCAGCTAAAGGGGCCTCGAAGAAAAAGAAAGCCGTGTCGTTCCTCGGGTGAGTTTGACGCGCGGTGTCGGGACGGTGCTAGCGCCCAGGGCTGCCTCCGCCAGAGCACGAGACCCGCCGCGGGCGCTGCGGGAAGGGGAGGGGACAGCGCGGAGGGACAGGCAAGACGGTGGTGGCCAAGGAGAAATAAAGAGAGTGAGAGAAGGAGGCAGAGAGGAAGAAGGGAGTGAGGACCGCGGGAGGGCGGCAAAAGTCAGTGGGGAAGGAAAAAGTAAGTCCCCGGCAGGGCCCACGCCCAGGGGGTGGGGGGAGAGAAAGATAAAGTAGCCCGCGCCCGGTTGCTCAATAGGCTAGAACATCATCCTGAGAGGCCAAGGTTGTGGGCTCCATCCCCGTCAAGGCAGGTACAAGAATCAACCAGTGAGTGCATGAATAAGTGGAACAAATCGACGGTTCTCTCTCAAATAAATACATAGATTTTTTTAAAAGGAGAAGGTTGTCAGAGTAGGCGATGAGGTTGGAGCCGGAGAGCGGGGGATGCGGAGGCAGGAGGGGCCAGGCCCCGCTGAGGCTACACCCTGACCCTCCCGACCCTGCTCCCCAGGGTGGAGCCTCGGATGTCCCACGAGCCCATGCACTGGTGCCTGAACCTCAAGCGGTCCTCAGCCTGCACGAACGTGTCCCTGCTCAACCTGGCTGCTGTGGAGCCCACCGACTCCTCCGCGACAGACTCCATCACCGACGACAGTGGCTTGCTGGCCCTGCCCTCCGCCTCCCCCACCCCACCCTGGGCTCCAGAGGACCCAGACATCACGGAGTTACTGGTGAGGGGGGCCCCCAGCTGGGGGGACACGGTCCCTGTCCTGGTGGCAGGCAAATACCGAGGATGGAGGGCTGTCTTCTTCGTTTGGGTCGCTCTTCAAAGCCGGGAGGAACTGTCCCTTCCTCCCTTAACCGCCAGCCATGTATCTGTTCCTTCTTTGCTGAACCATTCAGCTGCCTGGCACTTGGTCTTTAGTTCATCCAGTCACTTCCCAATGTCCTGGGTTAGGCCAGGGTCACCGACGGGAGTCAGGCCAGATCCCCGGCCAGTCTGATGGGAGCGACCCACACCGGCTGGTACAGTCCCATTAATGGAGGTAGTCCTGGGGAATCCCAGAAATGGGATCCTCAAACCAGGCTGAGGGGATCAAGGAAAGCTTCCTGGAGGAGGCGGTGTCAGAACTGGGCTTTGACGGGTGAGTAGGAGTTCTCCGAGGGGCTCTCCTCTGAGAAGCTGGGGCCAAACTGGGAGGCCCACAAGATCTATGAGCATTTAGTGAGTTCCCTCCTGAAGCATAGTGCGCTGGAGCGTGGTCCTTTTAACTCTCCCTCCATCTCCCGCGCCCTTGCCAGGGCTTGACATGGACGAGAACAATCACACTGCCAAAGGACCATGCTCTTAATGATGCTAACAGGATTCGCTGGTACTTACTGAGCACTTTCTACGTTCCAGGAGCCACGGTTTCCTCCTCTGTAAAATGGAGATGCGTGTGTTGGCTCTTACAACAATTATCTCTCTTTTGTAAATGCTTTTTCCCCCCCTTCATTTAATTCTTTTCTTACTATCTATTTATGTTTACAGGGAGGGGGTTTGAGAAACATCGATGGGTTGCCTTTCACACACGCCCTGACCAGGAATCAAACCAGCGACCTTTCGCTTTGTGGGATGATGCCCAACCCACTGAGCCACACTGGTCAGGGTTCAATGAATATTTTTTTTATAAATTTTATTTATCTATTTTTAGAGAGAGGGGAAAGGAAAGAGAGGGAGAGAAACATCAGTGTGCTCTTGCCTCTCACGCGCCCCCTACTGGGGACCTGGCCTGCAACCCAGGCATGCGCCCTGACTGGGAATTAAGCCAGTGACCCTTTGGTTCACAGGCCAGTACTCAATCCACTGAAGCCACACCAGCCAGGGCTCAACGAATATTTCTTAAATGCTTACAATGTGCCAGGCACTGGTCTAGGAGGAGAAAGATGGCAATATCCAAAACAGAGTTCTGGATATAACCATGCCCACTTCCTGCGGTTGTCATGCCAACGAAGGGCAGTTCCTTCACATCAAGTGTTCAGCACAGGCGCCAGCAGTAACCACGGAGTACGTGTTGGTTGTTATTATCACCTACTCCATTTCACACACGAACCTGGAGAGGCCCCCAGAGGTTGAAGCGCATGCCCAAGGTTACACAGCTTGTGAGCAGAGGAACCAGGCTCCGAGTCGGGGTGGGGCACCGAGGAGGACAGTGAGGTCACGTGACAGCCCTAGGAAGGGAGGACTTGGGCCTGCCAGCCACGGTCAGGGAAGGCTTCGCAGAAAAGGCAGAACACAAGCTGTATCTCAAAGATAAGGAAGGTGTCCCCCAGGCAGAAGACAGGGCAGGCTGTTCCAGCTAGCAAAGGGACAGGGGTTGAAAAGATCCTGGGGAATGGGGGGCAACTGCAAGTTGGTCCCGGCAGCTGGAGTGTGGAGTGGGAGGGAGATGAGCCTGGAGAGGGGCAGGGCACCGGCCACACAGGCTGAGAAATACGGGTGTTCTCCTGAGAGCAATGGGGAGCCATTGAGGGTTCCTAGGCAGGGGAAAAAGGGGAGTAACTTAAGATATTGGCTCCATTCTCATTTACTTAGCACCTAGTATGTGCAGGGCACTGTGCCGCATCCCTACAGTGGCGCTCTCATTTTTTTCCCTTACAAGTCCTGTAAGGGTCCTGGCTGGTGTGACGCAGTGGATTGAGGGATAAAAGGGTCGCTGGTTTGATTCCCAGGCAGGGCACATGGCTGGGTTGGGGCCCAGGTCCCCAGTAGGGGGCGCGTGAGAGGCAACCACACATTGATATTTCTCTCCGTCTCTTTCCCCTTCCCTTCCCTTCTCTCTAAAAATAAATAAATAAAATCCCTTTTAAAATTCAGATGAGAACAAAAACAAAACTAGCAAACAGGTCAAATGAGGTAGCGTGACCTCTGCAAGTTCAAGTTCAGAGAGCTTGAAGGAAACCAGGTCAGCATTAGAAGTCCTAGAAACTGACACTACAACAGTCTCTTTTCTTTTCCTAGGAGACTCCTGTGGGGCTGGGCGGGAGAGCTTCGAAGGGCAGAGACTGGACACAGGGAAGCTGGAGAGAAGGCTGGGCTGGGCAAGAGTCCAGGGTAGGAGGGCCAGAGGGAGGGAAGGGAACAGGGCAAGCCAAGTCCCTCTGCAGACATCCCCTCCCCCAGGCAGAACACTTTCCTCCCTCCCTCTCTCTCTGAGCCTGGCTCACGCAGCACGTGCAGAAGTTTGCCTCCCACCAGAGCTATTTCTGAGTCAAGCTTCCCAGCGGCTTGTGACGCCTCAGAAAGAGCCCTGGGCAGCCGGGCTCAAGGCCTGATGCAGCCGCCGCCAGCCAGCTCTGGGGGGGGGGGGGCTGCAAGGGAACGTCAGCCTCTTACGGGGCTTCAGCTTCCTTCACCAAAAAATGGGAGGAGTACTGGCGGCTGAGATCTCGGGGTGCCTGCAGGGGCAGTGAGAAGATGCGGACCGGAAGAATACAGAGTGGCATTCAGAATCCGAGCTATATCAAGAGAGAAGGCTGGAGATGGGCAGAGTCGGAGGCAGAAACCCAGAGAGGGGGACAGAGACTGAGGGAAGGGGGACAGGTTCAGAAAGGAAAGGGGCAGACACCAGAGACAGAGGTTTAGAGAAACAGGGCAGGGAGATGCTCGCTGCGTCACAAGTTCAGGCCACAAGTTCAGGCCGGACAGAGAATGGGAAAATGATGAAGCAGACAGCTTTGGCTTCTCTCTTAAGCTACGACACCTTTTATTATTTTTTAAAATCAATCTGAGAGAGAGAGGGAAGGGGAGAGAGAGAGAGAGCGATCTTATCTTGTTGTTCCACTTATCTATGCATTCACCGGTTGATGCCTGTATGTGCCCTGACCAGGAATCTAACCTACATCCTTGATGTATTGGGATGACCTTCTAACCAACCGAGCTACCCAAGCCAGTGCCAAGCTATGACGTTTTTATGACGCTGACGGATGCAGTGGAAACAGTACTATTGCCACCCTGGTTGCTGTGGTTCAGTGGATTGAGTGCTGGCCTGGGAACTGAAAGGACTCAGGTTCAATTCCCAGTCAGGGCACATGCCTGGGTTGCAGGCCAGGTCCCAGCAGGGAATGCACGAGAGGCAACCATACAATGTGATGTTTCCCTCCCACCTCTAAAGATGAATACATAAAATCTTTTAAAAAATGTATGGACATATTTTAAAATACCATAGTTTTGTGTTGTTTTTTGTTGTTGTTTTGTAGATGTCTTTCATCCGGATGAGGAAGTTCCATTCTATGTTTAACTTGAGTGTTTTTATCATGAATGTTGGGTTTTCTTAAATATTTCTCCTGAATTGACGTGATCATGTGTTTTTTCTCCTATATTCTACTAATGTTATATATTGCATCGATTAATTTCTCTGTGTAAAACCAACCTTGCATTCCCGGGGTACATCCTACTTGATTATGGTGTATGATCCTTTTCTACATGCTGCTGGAATTGATACGTTAGAATTTCATTCAAGATTTCTGTGACTGTCTTCAGAAGGGATACTGGTCTGTAGTTTTATTTTCTTGTGATGTCTTTGGTTTGAGTATCAGGGTAGTATTAGCCTCATAGAATCAACTATTCCTGTTCTTTTTTTTTCTTTTCTTTTTCCTTTTTTTTTTTAAGTTTGAGATGGATTGGTAGCAATTCTTTTTTTTTTTTAAGATTTTATTTATTTATCTTTAGAGGGGAAGGGAAGGAGACAGGGAGAGAAACATCAATGTATGGTTGCCTTTTGTGCATCCCCTGCTGGGAACTGGCCTGCAGGGAACCAGCCTGCAACTCTGGTATGTGCCCTGACTGGGAATCGAACCGCGATTGTCTGGTTCGCAGGCCCGTGCTCAATCCACTGAGCTACACCAGCCAGGTGCAATTCTTTTTAAATGATTGGTATAATTCATCAGTGGAAACATCTGGTACTGCACTTTCCTTTGTTGGAAGTTTGATTTTTAACTCAATCTCTTTACCTGTGATGGATCTATTCAGATGTCCCAGTTCTTCCTGAGTCAATTTCATTTAGCATTCTCCTAGGAATGCTAAATTCCTAGGAATTCTCCTAGGAATTCCCCCATTTCACCTAGGTTACCAAATTCAATGGCATGCCAGTGGTCATAGTATTCCCTTATAATCCTTTTCTTTTCCTTAAATCAGGAGTAATGCACCTTTTCCTTCCTAATTTTAAATAATGTGCCTCCTCTTTTTCATAATCGACATAGCTAAAGATGTGTCAATTATGTTGATTTTTTAAAATAAAAACCAACTTCTCATTTTGTGGGTTTTACTACTGTTTTTCTATTCCCCCATTTCATTTTTTACCATCCTAATCTTTACTATTTCCTTCCCTCTGGTAGCTCTCAGGTTCGTATGTTCTTCCTTTTTTGGTTTCTTAAAGTGGAAGTTTAGGTTATTTATCTTGAGTTCTTTCTTTAAAACAATTTTTAATGTATTTATTTATTTTGAGAGAGGGGAAGAGAGGGAGAAAGAGAGGGAGAGAAACATCAGTGTGTGGTTGTCTCATGCTCGCCCCCTACTGGGGACCTGGCCAATAACCCAGGCATGTGCCCTGACTGGGAATCGAACTGGCGACCCTTTGCTTTGCAGTCCAGCGCTCAGTCCGCTGATCCACACCAGCCAGGGCCGAGTTCTTTTTTTTTTTTTTTTTTTTTTGATGTAGGGGTTTAGAGCTCCAAACTTCCCACCAAGTATTGCTTTCTATGGTCCCCTAAGTTTTGGTTTATTGTGTTTTCATGCTTCTACATTTTGAAGCATTTTATGGTTTTTCTTGTGATTTCTTCTTCCTCCCATTGTTTCCGTGTATAGTATTTAATTTTCATATATTTGTGACTTTGCCAAATTTCTTTCTACTATTGATTTCTAAACTCATGCTACTGAGCTCACCAAGGTCAAAACACACTTTGTACAACATCAATGCTTTTATATTTTGGAGAACCTTTCATGTGCACCTGGGAAGAATGTGCATTCCACCATTTGTTATGTGGTGTGTTCTACAGACGCCTATTAGGGCTGCTTCATTTATACTGTTCAAATTTTCTATCTCCTTGCTGGTCTTCTGTCTAGTTGTTCTATCCATCATTAAAAATGAAGTATTGAAATCAACAATTAAGGTTGCACTGTCAGTTTCTCCCTTCAATTCTGTCAGTTTTGTTTTCATATGTTTTGAAGTCCTGCTCAGTACATAAAGATTTATAATTCTTGCCCTGGCTGGTGTGGCTCTGTGGACTGAGTGCCGACCTACGAACCAAAGCGTCGCAAGTTACATTCCCAGTCAGGGCACACCCCCCCCCAGTAGGGGGCACCGGAGAGGCAACCACACACTGATGGTTCCCTCCCTCTCTTTCTCCTTCCCTTCCCCTTTGTCTAAAAATAAATAAATAAAATCTTTATTTTTTTAAAGATTTTACTTATTTTTATTTGAACAACAATTAAAATTTTTAAAAAATGAAAAAAGATTTTATTTATTTTTAGAGAGAGGGGAAGGGAAGGAGAAAGAAACATCAATGCATGCTTGTGTCTCATGCACCCCCTACCAGAGATCTGGCCCACACGCAACCCTGGCATGTGCCCTGACTGGGAATCAAACTAACAACCCTTCAGTTCACAGCCTGCACTCAATCCACTGAGCTACACCAGCCAGGGCAACTCCTACAGTTTTTGCCAGCTTTTTTCATTGATTTTATGCAGAGGTGGAATTTTGGGGTTTTTTACTCCTTCACTTTGCTGTCACCTGAAGACAATATTTCTTATCACACATGTTCACAGAAATCATGCAAGAAATGTAATGTGGCCCCCAACTTACAGTGTAGGAAACTTGTTCTCTTTCTTCTTTGTGTACCAGTTTAGCAATTGTGAAAGAAACCATGATTACCCATTTAAGCAGGATGGTTTATTTCTCACATAAAAGCCTCGACGAGTAGCCCTGATTGGTGTGGCTCAGTTGGTTGACCATCATCTCACAAAGTGAAAGGTCATCGGTTCAATTCCCAGTCAGAGCACAAGCCTGGGTTGTGGGTTTGGTCCCCAGATGGGATGCATACAAGAGGCAAGTGATAGATGTTTCTCTTTCTAATGGATGTTTCTCTCCCTCTCTTTCTCCCTCCCTTCCCCTCTCTCTTAAAATATATAAAATCTTAAAAAATAAAAGCCTCAACAAGTATAGGAGGCATGCTTGTCAACTGCAGCCAATTACAGGCTTCTGTGATCTGGTGGCTCAGCTATTAAGTCACAGGTTCAGCTGCTATAACAAAAGAGACACAAAATAGCATAGTTTCAAGGAGATGGCAAATGTTCTCTCTTTTGTATAAGTCTTCACTGGTGGATGAAATTGTGGGTGGCGGCTCCACAGTGTTGGGATTCAGGCTTCTTCTGTCTCATTGTGTCTTCCATCGCATGGTCCAAGATGGCTGCTCTGGCTTTAGCCGTCAATTTTGCATTCCTGCCAGTATGAACGAAGAAACAAAGAAATGGGGCCATTCTCTCTCCTTTCTCTTGGTGAAGTCATGACTCGGAAATTTTCTTCTCTTATTCCACTCACTTTCCACAGGTCGGAACTTAGGTACATACCACCCCTGGCTGCAAGGGACCCTGGGAAATGTAGTCTTTGGCTGGGAAGTTGTATGCTAGGCTGTTAGGTAAATGTGGAAGAGCTAAGAGTGGAACCTGCTGTAGCCATCGCTTCTGAGCCACTTTGGCAGAAATCACAAAGCATTTTATGGTGTCAAAAGGGAGCGGAGATCATGCCCTGGCTGGCGTGGCTCAGTGGATTGAGCACCGGCCTGTGAACCAAAGAGTCCGTTAATTCGATTTCCCAGTCAGGACACATGCCTGGGTTGTGGTCCAGGTCCCCAATGGGGGGGCATGTGAGAGGCAACCACACACTGATGTTTCTCTCCCTCTCTCTAAAAATAAATAAACAAAATATTTCTAAAAACAGTTTTTATTTATGTCTGTGGATGCCAAAGGCTTTTTATTTTCTTTTATGCATTTATTCTTAGAGAGAGGAGAAGGGAGGGAGAAAGAGAGGGAGAGAAACCAGACCAGGAACTGAACCTGCAACCTTAAGCTTTGCCCAACTGACTGAGCCATAACCATCCAGGTGACCCCAGTGGCTTCTCTCCATGTTGGGTTGAGACCATCCTCCTTCCTCCGCATATCTGAGTGCTCCCTGTCAACCCCACTCCCTCCTGGTCCTATTTATTTTTCTTCTCATCCACCAAGCCGACAACAAGTCCACCCCTGGTTTTTGGAGTATGAATATCAAGAATCACAGAGGCGTAGCCCCAGCCCAAAGTCACACTCCAGGGCAAAATCGAGGTGTAAACTTGAGCATCCTCCCAGCTCCAGATTTTTCCTTGCGGTTGGGGTTTGCTTCCACACACCTGTGACCCACCTGTCTCCCATTCCTCCCCAGAGCGGGGTCAACAGCGGATTGGTTCGTGCCAAAGACTCCATCACCAGCTTGAAGGAAAAGACGACCCGGGTGAATCAGCACGTGCAGACACTGCAGGTGTGAGGACCGCCCTCCCCCAGCAGCTCCTCTCCCTCCAAGGCCACATTGCCCTCTCAGGCTCCTTCTCCAACTCCACTCCCCCCCAGCCCAGTTGGGAAGGCAGAGGCTGGGAAAGGAAGGTGACTTTCCCAGCTCCAGCCTCTCCCCACCACGGGGTGTCCCCTTGAGGCTCTGGCTAACCCCGCTTCCCCTCCACACTCCAGAGTGAGTGCTCTGTGCTGAGTGAAAACCTAGAGAGAAGGCGGCAAGAGGCGGAAGAACTAGAAGGGTACTGTACTCAACTCAAGGTGAGCCGCTGGGGGAGGGAATGGGTTGGGAGAAGAGATTGGACTTAGGAAGAGGGTGGGTGGAAGCTGGGGAGGAGTGGAGTGGATGGACATGAGGTGGGGGGAGCAGAAAACGAGCTCAGGAGAAGCTGAAGAAGAAAGCCCAGGAACCTGGTTTCTATGGGGCAGGCCAACATGAAGAAGGTATTTGCTGGGCTGGGGGCAGAAAGGGGAGTGGTCGTGCCTCCTGTCAGAGGCGGAGCCTGTATGGAAATAGCGGGGAAGGACCAGGAAGCTGAAGTGGAATGGGAAAGCAGGGCTCCTGCCTTGGTGTCCCAACCCAGGAGAACTGCCGGAAGGTGACCCGATCGGTGGAAGATGCGGAAATAAAAACCAACGTCCTGAAGCAGAACTCTGCCCTGTTGGAGGTAAGAGGAAGGGAGATCCCAGGCTCTGCGAGGAGGATCAGATGCAAGAGGTACTTGAGTAGGCTTCAGGTGGAACTTCCCGCCCCCAGCCCCCACACCCCATCCCTTCATGTTCATGGTCAGACTTCCCCGTGCACAGTAATATTCCGGTCCCTGAGGGAGGGATTTGTGTCAGACTGGGAATGTCTGTGGGGCCCGCATGCCCACACATTTCCCAACAAAATGTTGGAAGAGCTTCAGTTATTCTTCCCAAACAGGGGGGACTGGAATCTGACACCTTGGAGGACTGGGTCGAGGGTGGAGGGCTGGATTGGGATAGGGAGGTCTGCCTCAGGAGGTTAAAGTAGTTGAAATGGGAAAAAACGGCCCCGGGAACAGTAAGCGGGAGTCCATTTAGACTCTGAACGGGACTTGCCAACATCCTGCTCCCCACATCCATTTACTTTCCAACCTCGGGAATCCTTTGGGTGCCCTTGGGGGTGGAGGTGGTTGTGGGAAGCGAAAGGCTAGGCTGGTAACCATGCCCTGCTTTCCCCACCCAGGAGAAGCTGCGCTACCTTCAGCAGCAGCTGCAGGATGAGACCCCCCGGAGGCAGGAGGCCCAGCTGCAGGAGCTGGAGCAGAAGCTGGAGGCGGGCCTCTCCAGGCAGGGCCTGAGCCTTGTCGCCCCGCCCCCGGGCTGCTCTGGGCCGCCAGGCAGCCCTGATGAGCCCCCACGACAGCGGAGCCTGGCCCCAGGGGGCCGGGGACTGGGACCCCGAGCAGGGGAAGGCCTCGTCATGAGCGACCAGGAGTTGCAGAAGGTGTCTGCAGGCCTTGAGGAGCTCAGGTGAGTGGGGTTGGGGCCTGGAAGATCTTAGGGGGCAAGGCCTAGGGGGTGGAGCCTTGAAGAACCTAGAAGGGAGTGGTCTGGGGTGGGAACTGGAAGTTCCTAGAAGGGTGGGAACTGGAAGAACTTAGCTTTGAGTACAGCTGAGGTGGGAGGGCTTTTTTGGGGGGGGCGGGGGGGTTAAGTCCTTGGAGAAGCTGATGTGGGGCTGAAGGGCAGGATGAGTGATGACCAGGATCCTTATTAAGAGGATAAAGACAAGGTTGTAGAAGACATGGAAGGATTCCAAGAAATGGACAGGATGGGGGAATTTGGGGACTGGGTGGGTCTGGAGCCATGGACGTGGTCCTGGTGGGGCGGGATAGATGGGGGCGAGTCCAAATCTAGCCAGGACCCGTTCCTTACCCATGTCCCTCCAGGAGGGAGGTGTCCTCCTTGACTGTCCGGTGGCATCAGGAGGAGGGGGCCGTGCAGGAGGCCCTGCGGCTGCTTGGGGGCCTGGGTGGCAGGCTCGATGGCTTCCTGGGCCAGTGGGAGCGAGCACAGCGTGAGCAGGCACAGACCGCGCGAGGCTTGCAAGAACTACGGGGCCGAACTGATGAGCTGTGCACTATGTAAGGACCTAGGCGCGAGGTGTCGGAAGGCGGGGCCTTGAGGGAAAGGGTGGACCAATCCGCTGGGACCAAGAGGGCCAGGCCAATTAGAGGAGCTCCAATTAGAGCACAGGAAGGGGCGTGCCATACCTTATAAGGACTGAGGGGAGGAGCCAAGTAGGAACAGAGAAAGCCAATCAGAGAACAAGGAGGGGCATTCTAGATCTTAAAACACAAAAGGAGGGGCCAATGAGAGCAGCGAGGGTCAGAGCCTGGCCGGGTACTGCAGATCTGTGTGGTCTTGCGCACAGCTTTTTTAGGAAAGGCGATGTCGCCTCACTGGTTCTTCTCACGCTTCAGGGTGGAGCGGTCAGCAGTGTCTGTGGCTTCACTGAGGAATGATCTGGAGGGGCTGGGCCCAATGAAACCGATCCTGGAGGAGCTGGGGCGGCAATTTCAGAGCTCTCGAAGAGGGTCTGACCTCACCATGAGCCTGGATCGGATCCCCCAAGGCCCCTGCACCCGCTGCGCTAGGTAAGGGGCCGAGGCCTGGCCCTGAGTGCATTCCATGAAGATGAAGTATTGAAAGAGAACGGGCATTGATGAGAATGGGAGAAAAGGCAACCCCATGCATGTATTGTAGGACCAGCCATTTCTGGTGCATTATGGGAGCCACATTTCTCCCCTCCCCACAAGGCGGAGTCAATGTCTTGTGGAACACAAGAAAGACTTGCTCTGTTTCAAGCATCCCGGATTGCTAGTGCATTGTGGGAAAGTTAGGTTGTGGTACTTGGTGGGAGGCTGGGCTTCTCAGTGCACTGTGGGGAAGGTGAGGCCTTGGTGTATCCGGAAGCCAAGGGATACCATGCCCGGTTCATATTATGAAGGGGGAGAACTTCCAGTACAGCGTGGGATTGGGTTCAGTTAGTCCACTGTGGGAAACAGGAGTTTTTGATGAATCGAGGGCCGTGGGGTGCCCTCTGGGAGTGAGAATCCCTAGATATGATGGGGTTCCCCTCCTGTGGGGACCAGAAGCCATCTCATGCACTGCAGATTGGCCCTGCTGCATGGAGGTGAGGTTGCGTGGGTGCAGAGTGGAAAGGGGGCCTGGGCGGAGGCTGGGCAGGCAGGCATCCTGGGAATGGAGTGAGTGCTAGACCTCTTGCCCTTGGCGACTGCCCCTCCCCCAGCCAGGGGCAGCAGTTGTCCACAGAGTCCCTGCAGCAGCTGCTGGAGCGCGCGCTGACCCCGCTGGTGGACGAAGTGAAGCAGAAGGGCCTGGCTCCTGCTTGCCCCAGCTGCCAGAGGCTACACAAGAAGATTCTGGTACCAGGGACCATGGGCCACCATGCCCCTCTTTTCTGTCAGGGCAGGGGGAGGGGAGCCCCAGGCATAAGGAGCTGCTAGCGTGTGGCAGGGTGGGCAGATCTGAGCCTCGGACAGCGCGCGTTGGGGGAACACTGGGCTTTAATGCCTGTGGTGGGGGGAGGGGCAAGCAGTTTGAAACCTTGAATTTGCAGACATATTTGGAGGGGCATGCCAATTTTTGGACCAGCATAGGATCCGCTGGTCATTTTGGATACTTGGGTGACGGGCATTGCCCAAGGCATGATGGGACATTGGATAAAGGGCATTTGCAGGACACTGGAGACGGACCCATCTACAGCGTTGCGGAACGCGGGCCCGATTTTCTGTAGACCTTACAAGAGGCCAGGCATTGTGCTGGGCCACTGAGGTCAGATGCGGTCCAGCAAATGCAAGTCACCATAAGTTAGTGCATTTTGGGGAAATGAAACCACAGGTCTTCACGGGGCATAGCATCACAGACTCCAGCCCAACAGCTAATGAACTTGAGGCCTGTGCACATTCTGAAACGTAGAGACCTCATGTATTATGGGATGTGGCCTAATGATGGGCTACAAGTTGCAGTGGGTGAGTCAGACAAGTGAGGGGCACTGATGTGGCAGAGCCATGGGGCTGAGACATGATAGGAGTTGGGGCCTGGTGCATTCTGGGATGCAGGGAGACCACTAGGGACCACTGAGGAGACTGGTCTACAGATAAGGAGACGCAAAGTCTTCTGGATTATTAGATGCAGAAGGGCACTACATGATGGCCACTGGGGCCCGGACACATACCCAGTGCAGGATGGTTCGTGGTCATGTGGGGAGAAAATAGGATAGATGCTGACTGCGGGGACACAAAAAGCCAGTGCAATGGGGGACAGGCAATGGGACAGACACAGGTTCAGCACACAACAGAATCTGGAAGGCCGGTGCATTCTTGGAAGCTGGGGTCAGGCTAGAAGCATGACAGGACACCTTGGGGGAGGAACATGGGCCCCAGGAGACCCTGCCCCTTGCCCTCCGCGATCCAGCTCCCCCTCCCCCCCCAGCCCGGTCAGGCAAGCCCAGCCGCGCCTACACTCCTCTCCCCAGGAGCTGGAGCGCCAGGCCTTGGCCAAACACGTCAGGGCAGAGGCCCTGAGCTCCACCCTTCGGATGGCCCAAGACGAGGCCCTGCGGGCCAAGAACCTACTGCTAACGGACAAGATGAAGCCGGAGTGAGGAAGGAGGCTGAGGGCAAGGGAGGAGGGTGAGGTCTTGGGGACAGGGCCCGAGTCACCCCCTCCACCAGCCCCCTGGCGTCGGGCCCTGCCAGCACCAGCTCCCCACTCTGTCATTACAGGGAGAAGGTGGCCTCTCTGGACTATCTGCACTTGAAAATGTGCTCCCTCCACGACCAGCTCAGCAACCTGCCACTTGAGGGGTCCACGGGGACAATGGGGGGAGGAGGAAGTGGCGGGGGAACTCCCCCGAAACGTGGGGGGCCCAACTCCTGAACAATACATGACTCCTCATGCTGGCATGAATTCTATCTCCTTTGTTGGCCCCCGAAGAGGGCTAGTGAATCGGAGGCGCACTGTGCCCCAGTCTCTGTGCTCACAGTGACTCAGTCCTCAGCTAACGGGCTGCCTTGGTTCCGGAGAGATGCTGATGCCGGTCCAGTTCTTTGAAAGGTGGCTGGGAGTAAAAATAAGGTTCTGCAGTGCAGCGTGGGCCAGTCAGCCAACATTTTTCAGGGTGATTGTTATTAGATAATTGTCTCTTGCTGCATAAAAAAATGACCCCCCCGGCCCTGCTTGGTGTGGCTCAGTGGATTTGAGTGCTGGCCTGTGAACCAAAAAGTCATTGGTTTGATTCCGGTCGGGGCACATGCCTGGGTTGCGGGTCAGGTCCCCCATCTGGGGGCATGTGAGAGGCAACCACACACTGATGTTTGCCTCCCTCTTTTTCTCCTTCCCTCCCCCTCTCTAAAAATAAATAAATAAAATCTTTAAAAAAATTATCCCCCAAAATTAGCTGCTTAAAACAATAATCAAAATAACTAAATAAATTTAAAAAAATAAAGAAAAAAACACAATCATATATTATGTGACAAATTCCTTTTTTTTTTTTTCAAGATTTTATTTATTTTTAGAGAGAGGGGAAGGAGAAAGAAAGGGAGAGAAACATCAATGTGTGGTTGTCTCTCATGCACTCCCTACTGGGGACCTGGCCCGCAACCCAGGCATGTGCCCTGACCGGGAATGGAACCAGTGACCTTTTGGTTCACAGCCCATGCTTAATCCACTGAACTACACCAGCCAGAGCTATTATGTGACAATTTCTGAAGTTCATGAATCTGGGGGTGGCTTTGCTGGATGGTTCTGCCTCAGGGTCCTCATGAGTTTGCAGGATATCAGCTGGGGCTGCAGTCACCTGAAGGCTTGACTGGGGCTGGAAGGTGCGCATGCGTCCCAGAAGGTTCACTCCCGTGGCTCTTGGCTGGAGGCCTCAGTTGGTTGTCTGTTACCTGGAGGCCTCAGCTTCTCATGGCAGCTAATTTCCCCCCCAGCAAGCAGTCTAAGAGAACAAGTGCCTTAGATGACCTAGTTGCTCAAGTTCCATATTATCATTTCCCCCCTTTTTTTTCAAAAGATTTTTTTCATTTATTTTCAGACAGAGAGGAAGGGAGAGAGAGAAGCATCATCGGTTGCCTCTGGTACACACCCATCCGGGAATGAACCCACAACCCTGGCATGTGCCCTGACTGGGAATTGGAACTGGTGACCTTTTGCTTTGTGGGACGGTGCCACCCAACCAACTGTGCCACAGTGGTCAGGGCCATTTCCCCTTTTTATATTCCTTAGAATTGAGTCTAGATCTTTCTCAAGGGACATGTTAGAGAATTCACAGACGTTTTGAAGAGAATGTCGATATTTTAAACCACCACAGTAGTGATCTTTTAAGCTTTTAATTGAAGTACAATATAAAGAGAAACGTTCACAAATTAAAAGCTCCATGAATTATCATAAAATGGACATGTTCGCCCTGGCTGGTGTAGCTCAGTGGATTGAGCGCGGGCTTGGGAACCAAGCAACCACGGTTCGATTCCCAGTCAGGGCACATGCCTGGGTTGCAGGCCAGTTCTCTCCCTCTCTCCTTCCTTTCCCTTCTAAAGATAAATAAATAAAATCTTAAAAAAAAAAATGGACATGTTCATTTAAGCACCACCAAGATTTAAAAACTTAGCTTACACCCTGGCCCTGGTAGCTCAGTTGGTTAGAGTAGCATCCTGATACACCAAGGTTGTGGGTTCAATCCCAAGTTCAAGGCACATACGTGTAATAACCAATGAATGTATAAAAAACCGGAACAACAAGTTAATGTTTCTCTCTTCCCCTTTCTCTCTCTCAAATAATAAATAAAAATTTTAATTGAAAAACATAAAACTTCAGCTCACAGCACCCCCTGAACCTCCTGTCATGTCCCCTCCCAATCACTACCCTCTCCTTCTATCCCACAGGTAAACCCTATTCTAACTCATTGCGATGAGTTAAGAAAGTGTAAGGATAGGAAAGGAGAAAACTATGGTTATTCTGAGATGGCATAATTATGAACGTAAAGAATCATAAAGCAGCCCTGGCTGGCATGACTCAATGGACTGAGCACTGAACTTGGAAGCAAAGGGTCATGGGTTTGATTCCTAGTCAGGGCACATGCCTGGGTTTCGGGCCAGGTCCCCAGTAGGGGGCAAACGAGAGCCAATCACACACTGATGTTTCTCTCCCTCTCTTTCTCCCTGTCTTCCCTCTCTCTAAAAATAAATGAATGAATGAATAAAATATTTTTTTAGCCCTGGCTGGTGTAGCTCAGTGGATTGAGCATGGTCTGCGAACTAAGGGGTCGCCGGTTTGATTCCCAGTCAGGGCACATGCCTGGGTTGCAGGCCAGGTCTCCAGTGGGACCATGTGAGAGGCAACCACACACTGATGTTTCTCTCCCTCTCTTTCTTCCTCCCCTTCTTCTCTCTAAAAATGAATGAACAAATAAAGGAATAAAATCTTTTTTAAAAAAAGCAGTGAGTTTAGCCAGGAAGCTGAATAAAAGATGAACATCAAAATATCAATTTATTTCTGTATGCCAGTGATAAAAAAATGAAAAATGTGACACACAACCAAGTTTAGAGGCAACTAAATATTAGCAACAGAAAACAGCCAGAACACAGAAAATTGAACTTTTCGGAAGTCTGATAACAACAAATTCTTCAGCCTGACTGGTAAGAGGGGTGAAACTAGCAGCTGGAGTGGGGTTGCACAGGAAAACTCCGTCAGATGGACTCAGGCGCGCAGAATCCAGGCGCAGGGTTGGACCTGGTGGGCGACCGCGGGGAAAACAGCGAGGGAGCAGGGCTGCGGGTTGACTGTGGTCATGCATTCGTGTGTGGATAGACAAGCGAGGGAGTGGGCGATTGGACGGGACCCAGCAGGCCCCAGTGGCGAGCAGCAGCAGAGGGCGCCGCCATTTCCCCGCTCTGACCCCCACCTCCACATACAGCATCATAACTCAACGACCTAAGTGGCCCTGCCCTGGTGAAGCACCTAAGGCTCTGCTCCTCACCCAGTGACACAAAACAGCAGAGGGCGCCACCATTTCCCCGCTCTGACCACGCCCCCACATACAGCGTCACAACCCAGCGACCTGGGAGTCCAAGGCTCCGCTCCTCTTAACAGGCGCAAACAGTCCAAAAATGGCTCAAGAAGATCTCAAAGCCCCAGAGCCTATAAATCGAAGCGATGAAGAAATAGCAAAACTCTCAGACTCACAGTTTAAAACACTGGTGATCAGGATCCTCATAGAACTGGTTGATACAGCCACAAATTAGATATACATATTATTACCTATATTTGTTCTCTTATTAATTACTGTTCATCTCCTACTGTGCCTAATTTTTTTTAAATTTTATTTATCTTTGGAGGGGAAGGGAAGGAGAGAGGACAGAAATATCAATGTATGGTTGCCTCTCATGGGTCCCCTGCTGGGAACTGGCCTGCAACCCAGGCATGTGCCCTGACTGGGAATCGAACTGCGATCCTTTGGTTCATAGGCCCGCGCTCAATCCACTGAGCTATAGGGCTTAGTGTGCCTAATTTATTAATTAAATTTTATCACAGGTATGCATAGGAAAAAACATAGTATAAATAGGGTTTGGTATATATTTCATATATATATAAGTATACCCAGGATTTCAGGCATTCATTGGGGATCTTGGAACATATCCCCAGAGGAAAAGGAGGGACTACTTACTGTACTTAAGTATAAAGGGTCGGTAACTAGGTAACCAGAAAGGCAAAAAGAGAGGCCCATGGTAACATCGTATGAGTCCCTACAGGAAGCACCTATCGCCCCTGGGGCGTGAAAAACAAAGGACAGACCTGACTGGTGAAAGGTTGCCAGTTCGATTCCCACTCACGGCACATGCCTGGTTTGGGGGTTCAGTTCATGGTTGGCACACATATGAGAGGCAACGGATCCATGTTTCTTGCCCTCTTTCTCCCTCCCCTCTCCTGTCTCTAAAAAATAAATAATAAAATCTTCGTTAAAAACCCAACGGATAAAATTTAGAATTATTGAAACTAAACCCTTGGATGAGGCCGCACCGGAGATGGAACTCAGACGCTGCTCAGCGGGCACAGGTGTGTGTGAGCTCAGAGGGCCTCCTCACGAAGTGAGTTGGTGCAACGGTGCTGACGTTTCTGAGGGTGCGGAAGACTTGGAAAAACTGCAAACTGGACTTACCAGCAGCTACAAGAAGGAACTGCCTCAGCCGGGATGAAAAAGCTGTGCTGGACGATGCTGATGGGAACAAGAAACTGGAAAGAAGCACTGAGCAAACAGGAAGGAGGCGCCCTTTTTCTTCCCCCAGGCGTCCGTGGTCTCTTTGGTGCCCCCTACTGGCAAAGGGTAGCATGGCTGGTGGGCTAAGCAGAAGTGCGGGGTTTTTTTTCTGTTGTTGTTTTGGGGTTTTTTTTTTTGAGTCCCAATGTCAGATTCAAAGCCCGGAAGAGGGGAGGGGATTGGAAACCAAGAGATAATGGCTTGATAACTGGCACACACATTGCCGTGGTCCAGCGACAATGAGTAATCCAGTTCTGCACCCCTAAGTTCCAAATGTATTTTTAAAAGAGTACTTGACGGAATGAGAGACTATTTTCCTGTAAAGGCAGTCTGAATGTTGTGCTGATGTTTTGTCTATCCATATGACATCTTAGATGCAAATTCAATCAAAATGTCAATTAGATTATTTTTGCCATTGGTTTTAAATTGAGAGAAGGGAAAGAGAGAAACATGTATTTTGTTGTTCACTTATTTATGAATTTATTGGTTGATTCCAGGATGTGCCCTGACCAGGGATTGAACCTGAAACTTTGGTGTATTAGAATGATACTCTAACCAACTAAGCTACCAGGCCAGAGCCCCAATAAACTTATCTTTCTTAGGATTTAACCCTATTTATTTATTTATTTATTTATTTAATTTATGATGTTATTTCTTTTTAGAGGGGAAGATAAGGAGAGAGAGGGAGAGAAACATCAATGTGTGGCTGCCTCTCATGCCCCCCCCCCCCCACCAGGGACCTGGCCTGCAACCCAGACATGTGCCCTGACTGGGAACCGAACTGACAACCCCTTGGTTCCCAGGTCTGCGCTCAATCCACTGAGCCACACCAGCCAGGGCTTAACCCAATTATTTTAAAGGTCTTCTAAAAAAATAAAGAAATGAGAGAAGCAAAGATTTTTGTTTCTAGAAAGAATAGGATCGGTCTAAAACCAATATATTAAAACATAAGTTAGCACTAATCAGTGTGGTCCTGAAAGATTAAAAATATGATGAACATTAAAACTTCATATGTATTTGACAGAAGTCATCATAAAGCAACCAAGAATAGTGAAATTATTCAAAATATTACTTGGGGGATTAAAACTGTACAATTCGGTGCCATTAATGACACTCACGTTATTGTGTGAGCACCACTGCTATCCATTTCCAGAACGTTTCATCATCCCAATGAGAAAACTGTGCCCATTCAACAAAACCTCCTCATTCTCTATTCCTCCCTCCTCCCAGATCCTGGCAACCACCAGGAACATCTTTTCATGGGCTTATTGGCCATTTGTGTATCTTCTCTGGAGAAATGTCTATTCAAATCCTTGGCCCACTTTTACTGACATTGTTTGGTTTTGTTGTTGTTGTTGAGCTGTAGGCTTTCCCGATATTAATTCCTAGTGAGACACTTTGTGAATATTTCCTCCCATTTTGTGGGTTTTCTTTTTTCCTCCATTGATTGTCCTTTGAGGCATAGCTTTTAATGCTGATGTAGTCCGACTTATTTCTCCTTTTTGCTGCCTTATCCAAGAAATCACCGCCACATTCAAGGGCATGAAGTTTTTCTCCTGCTTTAAGAATGTAAAGTTTTAGCTCTTACGCTGAGGTCTTTGATCCATTTGGAGTTGATTTTTGCATTTGGGGCGAGGTAAGGGTCCAACTTTGTTCATTTAAATGTTGGGATCCAGTTTTCCCAGACTTTTGATCCAGGGTTTCCAGAGCATTCTTGGCACCCGTGTCAAAGTTCATCTCACCATACATATGAGCGTTTATTTCTGGCCTCTCTATTCTATTCCATTGGCCCATGTGTCTGTATTTACACCAGTATCACACAATTTTGCTTATAGTAACATTAAAACAAATTTTGAAGTCAGGAAGTTTGATTCTTCTCCAACTTTGTTCTTCTTTTACAAGATGGTTCTAGCTCTTCAAAGTAGAGTGGATTTCCCTACTTCTGTGAAAAATGCCAGTGGGATTTTGACAGAGACTGCGCTGAATCCATAGAACACTTTAGATAGTCCTGACATCTTTGCAATGTTAAGTTTTCCAACCCAGGTTCACAGGACGTTAACAATTCTTAATTGCATTAAGTGGCTCACAGTGCGGGCTCACGTATTCCTCACACCACCACGCTAGTTCACTTGATCAATTAACATCACGTGAACTGGAGAAGAATTGGTAAGTGCATTGGAGGTATTGATAAGACACTTGCGCTCCAGAGTGTGGACAGTTGGCGCTGGAGCAGCAGGGGCTGAGCTGAGAGCATGTGGGATTGTTTAACTGGAACTGGATGGTTGGGTTAGGGAAGCTGGAGGTGGGAATGCAGTAAACAGGGCTGGGAGGAGGGCTTGTCACTGAAGTTGTGATGGTAACTGCTGACTCACGGTCGGCCTGGGGATGGATGGCACCTTTGCTCCTCCTCCGCCCCTGCCCAGCCCAACAGCAGAGCGATACCACACACCCAGTTCACACGTCTTTATTGGACCAGGTGTGGGATTTCCAAACCCAAACAGGCTACCTCCGTCCTGCACCAGCCCAGCTGTAAGACCCTCCCACTGGGTCCTGGGGAGACCAGCTCCCCATTGGGAGGAATCAAAAGTTGGTGGATGGCGTGGGTGCCCTGGAGCCCCTAGTGTGGCAGGACAGAGACCCACATCTGCTCCCCGAGTCCTCCTGCCCAAGCCCTCTGCGCCCTCGCTTCAGCCGCTGCCCCTCCTGGAATAGGGCGGCCACATCCAACAGGGAATCTTCAATGTGCTGCCCCAACCGGTGGGAATCCTGGAAGGAGACACAGGTCACGTTCAGGGGAAGCTTGCAGGGGGCTCATGCAGACTGAGAAACAAGAGGGCTGGCATCCCTAACTCTTGGGTCTGAGGGAGAAAGGGCTGGGCGGTCTGGACTCTTGGGCTGGAGCGGAGAGAGCTAGGAATCCAGACTCCTGGGTCCAGAGGGAGAAGGTGGCAGGGTGGTGGTTCTGGGTGTTCAAATTGTCTCACCGTTTTTGCACTTGATTTTTTGCTGGAGATGTGGAAGGTGATCGTGTCATCCCCCATGAAGATGTAAGAAACACCGTAACCATGGTCATCGACCTGAAAGGGGATGGAGTGAGAGGCACAAAATATCCCCAAGTGCCCTTCCTACACCACCACGCAGGAGTGCAGACCTCCCTCCCTCAGGCCCCAGTCCCACTCACAGGCCCAAATCCACCACCGGAGGAAACGTAGTCGGGGTAATTGTGGACATCAAACAGGTGGGTTTGCTGAACAGGGATCTGACTCGTGGCCAGATGCCACTGCTCTGAGTGAACCTGAAGGGGCAGGAGACGGTCACACATGCTATAAAGACAGACCCGCCAGTCTGCGCCCCGTGGCGCAACTCCAACCCACAGAGCCCCATCCCCTTCTGACCTCCTGCCCTGGCTGCCCAGTTTCCCTAAATCTGCCCCATCTGCAGCTCTGCCTTTCCCCTTCCAGACCACACCTCTCTGCTCGGCCCAGAAGCCCCTCCTTCTCCCCTGGCTCCGCCCCTCTCCTTCCCTTAGTCCCGCCCCTGTCTCCACAACCACGCCCCTTCCTTCTAGCTGACTGGGTCCCTCTCTTCTCTGAGCAGCTTCTCTCCTTTCTTTCTAAGACTACACCCCTCTCCCCTGCTCTCCCGCCTTTTCCATCTCTGCCCTTACCCTTCCTTACTCTCCTGTCCCAGGCTCTCCCTAGCTAAGAAGAAAGTCCACTCTGCTGTTACTTCCTGTTTCCAACATCACCCTTCTTTGCCGTTTTCCTGTCGCCCTACCTGGTCCAGAAAGGGCGACGGGCGGCGGAGGAATTGGGAGACGACGTGGAGTGCGAAGAGGTGGCGGTCAACCCCCTGTCCGCTCATTGCTGCCTTCAGCAGAGCCTGGTGCTTATTCACCGCCAAGCGGAACAGGGCAAGGCACTGTGGGTCCTGGGGTCCCCGGGGAGGCCACGGGTCATGGAAAAACAGGAAGTGGGCTTACTGCTGGGGTCTGCCACACCCTTGGCCTCCACCCAGCTTGCAACATTCCTGCAAAGTGGGGACAGCAACTCTGTTTCACGGGGGGAAACGGGTTCAGCGATGGGGTGGGGGGAGGAGCCACTTGCCCCGGGACACACAGGAAGGCGGAGTCAGATGGGCTCCCAGGCCTCTCTGATTTTCCCAAATTGGTTCCATGTGGTTCCATGGAACCACACAGGCAGCGGGGAGAGGGAGCAGAGGGGCCTGGGGGTCTGAGCAGTGAGGTGATACAGGGAGCATGAGCCACGCTGCAAATGGAAGTCACAAGGTCACACAGAGGTTAAATAGAGAGCTGCGTGTGGCAAAAGGTCTCCCTCTGGGATGCTCCCCCCGTGCCCTGGGAGACCCCCCCATTAAAGCATGTGTCACACTGTGCTGAACTATCTCTGTCGCTCCCCATCAGTGAGTTCCTTGAGCCCAGAGGCCAGGCCCAGTTCCTCCCCGTCCCTAGGGGCACTCATAGGGCCTTGGCCCTGCGGAGGTGCTCCAGGCCCGTCTGCGGATGTACGAGCAAGGGCGGGGAAAGGACCGAAGCCTCCGCCGAGGCTCACACCCACTGTCTTCTCCTTGTCCGCCATGGCTCTCACGAAGTGGCAGGCTTCCCGGGTGCAAGGCCGAACGGTCTCTGTCCGGCCTTCCAGGAACAAGCGGGTCATGGTAGACTCGTAGGTCAAGCAGAATCGACCCCTGTCCTGGGGGAGGAAGAGAGGAGGGGCCTCAGGAAGTCTCCATGGACTTGACCCCCCCAGACCCCCCCCCACAACTGTGCAGTTGAGAGAAACCAAGATGCTGGACCCACAAGAGTCATGTGAGGGGCTGACGAGGCCAGTCTCGGAGAGCCAGGGAACCGAGGTCCCCAGAGGGCGGGGCCTGGGGTCCCGAAACCCAACTGACCCGGAAGTGGGCCAGCTGCAAGGCCACCTGGACGAAGCTGTTTGAGGAGAGGTGGCAGCGTTTGATGAAGCTCTTGCCAAAGTGGGAGAAGGGAAAGACATGGCAGTCGATGTCTCCAGACAAGGTCCTGGCTGCCCGCAGGGCAAGAGAGATGGACGTGTGGACCTGCCGGAGGAGGAGGGGCAGGGGGAAGGGTGACCGAGCATGGGGTTAGAGGTGGGGGTGGGGGATGGAGCTAGGGTTGGGGTCGACAATGGAAACTGGGACAAAGGAGGGAATGGAGCTGAAGGGCTGGGTTAAAGATGGAGATAGGGATGTCACTGGGTCAGGATGGGGTTGGGGCTGGGATGGAGTCAGGGCAGAGGTTTCAGCTGGATCCGGTGGTGGGAACAGGACTGACTTTAGGTGTGGCGGTGGTGTTGGGACGGAGATGAGTTTGGGGGGAGATGGAGTTAGGGAGAGACTGATGGAGACATGTGGCTGGGGTTGGGTTGAGGGTGGAATCGGTAGCGGGGATGGAGTTAGCGCTGGGAATGGGGTTGATCTTGGGGTTGAGATTGGGGGTGGGGATGAATCAAAGCCAGGGATTTGGGAGCTCGGAGGAGAGAGGCCTGGAACCCCAGACTCACCTTGTCTGGAAGGTCCCAGTGCAGCCGCTGGGGCTGGGGCAGGGAGGGGTCCGGATGCCCCTTGCAGTGGCCGTCCACCGAGTAGCCCAGCTGGAAGCATTCTGTGGCCAGAGTGAACTGTGTACAAACGGAAGCTGTCAGAGCCCCTTCCTCTCTCTGGTCCAAGGGCCATCTAGCCAGGGACCTGTTTTATCAGTCCCTTCTGGGCATGGGGCCAGTCCCTGAGAAGGAGAAAGCCCTGATGTTCACAAGTTCGTTCTCAGGTTCAAATTCACTGAGAGCAGGACTGGCACTAACACCCAGCTGGTGCTTACTAACCTTGTACTTCTCTCCGATTGAGCACCTACTACCTCCAGCCTTCCATTTCTCTTTATCTTACTACGGGACACCTCCTCATTTAAAGTCGATATGCAGATGCCCTGGCTGGTGTGGTTCAGTGGATTGAGTGCTGGTCTGAGAACCAAAGGGTCACCAGTTCGATTCCCAGTCAGGGCACATGCCTGGGTTGCAGGCCAGGTCCCCAATATGGGGCTCACAAGAGGCAACCACACACTGATGTTTCTCTCCCTCTCTTTCTCTCTCCCTACCCCTCTCTAAAAATACATAAATAAAATGTAAGAAAAAAAAAGACTAAATAAAATAGAGAAAATAGACTGGACGGGACTAAAAGATAAAAGAAAATCCAGCCCTTTCACCTGATGAAGGGGAAACTCAGGCCCAGAGGTGGGGAGTGACTTGCCCAAGGTCACACAGCCAGCCAGAGCCCTTGAAAGGGGGTTCTGATTCAGTGTGATGTGACCAAAAAGCCTCACATTCTGGTCTCAGAACATTCTGGATTCACACTCCCGCTCTGCCACCCCTGGTTCTGGGAGTCTGGGCAAATCACCTCCCTCTTGGAGCCCCAATGGCCCATTGGTCAAAGAAAGGTCATCATCCCAGACCCCCTTTGCTGGGTGGCCCTGGTCCGCTTTCTGCCTCTCTCTGAGCCTCTGCTTTCCCTCTGACCCGGAGTCCCTGGAGGAGAAAGTCTTTGGAAACCAGGGTGGCGGCCCCCAGGGCGGGGCTGGTGGGAGCCGGCTGCCCTACCTGCCACATATGCCCTGGGGTGGGGCAATCCGCCCAGGAGTGCTCCACACTGAGGCCCAGCTTCCCATTGGAGAAGACGATGAGGGTGAAGGATTTGTCGTACCAGCTGCAGGCAGAGAGTTCAGAGGGGTCACCAAACAGTGGGCCCCGGGAGGGAACCCCGCGTGCTCTGAGGGACTTGTGGCGATTTTAGGGCGGGCAGGTTTTTCTGAAATCGGGGCTGGTGTGGGGGCCTCTAAGAGGGTGGGGCCCCCGACTGGTGGTTCTGGATGGGCTCTGAGGCATGTCTAAGGTTTGAAGAGATGGGAGATTTTGAGGGGATGCACTGAGAAGGTTCTAGGTTTACGAGGTGCCGGAGGTCAGGGAGAAATTCCTAGGGGCCGCAAAGATCAGAGTGATGACCGGTGGGCATCTGAGAAGTTGTCTGAGGATCTCTAGGTCTGGGGGTCCCAGGTCTGGGGTCTTGGGTTTAGGGTGCCAGCATTCACACCTGAGGATTCTGTGGTTCTGTGTCTGAGGTTCCCCAGGTTTGAGGTTCTGCCTCTGGGGAGACTGGCTCTGAGGGTCCAGGTCTGAGGTTGGGGGGGTCCCAGGGTCTGATTCCCCAGGTCTCTGATTCAGGGGTCCTCAGGTCAAGGAGGCCCTTGGATCTGGAGATGCCCCAGGTTCTGGGGCCCCTGGTCTGCGTGTCTAGTGCCCAGAGTCTGAGGTCACAGGTCAGGATGGGGTCCCGGGGCTCACCCACCGGTCATGACCGTTGCCAGCCAGCAGGGCATGGGCATATGCATCCAGCGATACTGCAGGGTCCTCCCTGGTGAGCCCCGCAGGCTCAGAGTCCAGCGATACAAAGAAAGCGGCCCCTTCCACGGCCTCCAGGGCATCCTCTGCCTGGCTTTCCAGTGACTTCCGCACCTGGGCCCACATGTCCCTGTTGGGGGACGTGCCTGAGCCCTTCGCCCTGCCCAGCCTCCCCTGGGCTCCCAAACCCCGTTCTTCCGTAACCCTGGGGTGGTGGATGGTGCTCTGAGCCCCCTGACCTCCCATCCGCACCTGGGAGCTGCGGTCAGGGCCGCCAGATGCTCCTCGTGAGGGCAGGCGGGTGAGGGGTCATCCAGGATTCGCTGAAACTGCTGCTCCAGGGCCCGAGGGGAGAGCAGGCCGCTTTGGGAGTGGGTCCCCACGCGGAAGAATCGACCCCGGTGGAAGACGGCCACGTGTCGGCTGTCCCGAAGGTGGCGGATGTGGTCTTGGGTGGCGTGGGCAGACGTGTGGAGACCAGGAAGGTCGAAAACATTATAAGAAAAAAAAAATAGCAACCACCTATTAGGAGGCACTTCGTGTGAATTACACTGTTCTCAGCTCCCATTTACTCCACACTCCCCTATGGTTCCTTATTACCCCATTTTAGAGATGGAGCAACTGAGGCTCAGAGAGGGTAATAATTTGCTCAGGGTCACACAGCTAGGGAGAGGGCTGGGATTCAACCCAGGCAGGCTGGCTCCCATAAATATACTCAGATACGACATTGTTCCACCTCTGTCAGAAGGGGCCTCACCTTTCTGGACCCCAGGAATACGCGTCGTGTTGAATATCCTCTCATACTGGGCAGAGCATAAGGGCCGCATTCCCATTAGTAAAGTCTGCGGGAGACAGACCATGGGCTGGTTGGTGAACTGGCTCCCAGGACCCTTTTGTCCGCGATGGCCTTGGGACCATGGCCTCTGTCCAAAGCCCACGGAGGCGGCCCCCTTACCGGCAGGATCTCCTGGCGGTTCAGGCGGTGGCGGTAGAGGAGGAGGGCGTGGACAGCATTCCCGGCTCGAGCAGCCTGCACTGGCGTGGGGGTGACGTACAGGAAGTCCTGGGGACCAGTGGAGGGCACAGCAAAACGCCTGGGGTCAGGTTTGCCCCAGGTGGGGACACTGACCCCCAAACACAGGTCCTGATCCCAACAGAGGGCGGACAGGGAATTTGGGACTGTGATTTGGGTCACTGACCCTAAACCTCACTTTCTACCCGGACATCCCAATCCTAGACCCAGGAACTGTGACCCCACCCCACCCCCCAGTTCCTAGTCCCCTTCTTCCTTTCTCACCATCATGTAATAGTTACTGTTCACCATCAGCGAGTTCCGGGAGCGCAGGTACACAAATTCTTCCCACCAGTCACTGACCTGGGAGTGGGCGAGAGACAGACGCTGCTGAGGTGGCTGGGGCCCAGGTGCGGGGGAGGGGATGTGGGAGACAGTGGGAGGGTTGGGTCACCCAAGACTTTGTGTTCATAAGCAACTGTGGGAGGGACAAGAATTAAAGGGAGGTGATCAACTCTGGCTAGTGTGGCTCAGTGGACTGAGTGCCCGCCTGCAAACCAAAGGGTCACCAATTCTATTCCCAGGCAGGGCACATGCCTGGGTTGTAGGCCGGGTCCCCAGTAGGGGGCGCATGAGAGGCAACCACACATTGATGTTTCCCTCTCTCTCCCTCCCTTCCCCTGTCTAAAAATAAATAGTCTTAAAATAAATAAATAAATAAAGGCAACCATCCTTGGCAGAGCCCAGGCCACTCCCACCACCCCGCCACCACCTCTCAAGACCAGCCCCCTTTCAATTCGCACAGTAAAGCCTCCTTGTTTCCAGCCCACGCCCATAAATTTGCCCACTTCCTCACCTTCGCTCGAGCTGTGCCTTCGCCAACCTGACAGGTTCAGATCCCCTTCAACCCTCAAGACAGCCCTCATACCCTCTCCTCCTGGAGCCCGGGTCCTCTGGTCCTCCTCCGACCACCCCCAGACACTCACCCCTCCCAGTCTGTCCTGTTATTGCTCCGCCCGCCCACCCGCACCCCCTTCCTGGCAGCGATTTCTGGCCATTTACGGGCACCTTGTGAGCCGAGCTTTGGGACTCTATGTCTCAGTTTTTCACGGAGCTCAACTCATTGTGCAATCAAGGGTCACCTCCTGCACCCCCGGAATAGAATCCCATTTGAGGAAGATGTTTCCTTGAACAGAGAGAGGTTGAAAGGAAACTATTCTGGGGGCGGGGCTTACGGTGTAGACTGGCCAGGGTCTGTCCGAAATGTTGTTTGGGTCCCGCAATTAAGGTGGAAATGCTGGAGGGTTAAGGGCAGAGCTCCAGATGTGGGCGGGTCCTGGAGGCGGAGTTTGGATGATTGGAAAATCCATTAGAATGTGGGAGCATGGAAGGAGGCCCCGAGACTGTGGCAGATGATAAGTGCTGCGAATACTGTAGAGTACAGAGGAGCTTGGAATATTGGAGCATCTGGGGCTGAGTTTATATTATTGGAGTGTGGGGGCGGGGCTTAGACAATTGAGCATGGGCGGGACTCGTATTATTATGCATGGACAGGCTCGGAACGCTCCAATCGCTGCAAGGCCTGGTGGTTGTGGGAGGGGGCGAAAGGCGGGGCAACGTTAGGCCAGGGGGCTCAGAAGCTTTGCCTTTGCAAAGCGGGACTCACGTAATTGGACGCCCACCAGGATTTGAGCCGCAGGTACCACTGCAGCAATGATGCCTGCAGCTTCAGGAATTCCTGCGCTAGGCCCGCCATCCAGTCAAAGTCCTCGTCCGAAAGGACAGGCCGGACAGATTCCAGGTACTGAGAGGAGAGGCGGAGAAGGGGGTCGGTTAGACCCCCCTGCCCACCACGCCCATCTCGCTGGCCTTCCTTCCCATCCCCAGGTACCAGGCCCACCTTGCGCACGGTGTCCTGCACGGAGGGCACGGGCTGGCGTGGCAGGCAGCGCTGGTAACTGAAGAGCATCGGATGACGGCCGGAGAAGATGCGGACCAGGGCCTGGAGGCATGTGGGAGGTACTGGGTCATTAAACCCCTCACTAAGTCTGGGGACCCGGGCGGAGTGTGTACAGCAGCCCACAGAGAATGGGACAGGGGAGGAGCCCTGCACTTACCAGCCAAGTCTTGGTGGGTGAGGACATGGCTCCGTGGGGTTCGAGGAGCCAGCCGTGGTAGGACAAAAGCAGCCTCAGAGCCACGTGAAGCGTGAAGATCAGGGCTCCCCACAGACAGGACGCAAACAGTGCGGCCGCCAGGAGCCCTCGAAGCCTGTGGTGCTGTCCACCCCTGGGGAAGGGAATGAGGATGGGTCTGGGTCTCCTGGCCTCAGAATCCCCTCCCGCCCAGCCTCACTCGGCCTCTGTCCTTCCTCACATCCCCTTACTCCGGCTGTTGGAGGCTTACTTTGCAGAGTTGGAGTCCGTCACAGAAGTCCTTTCCTCATTTCGTAAAGTAGGCATGGTCCTCTCTGCACATCCTCCCCCCTCCTCCCAGGACTGTGGGACACCCAGCTTCTAAAATCTCTTCTCATGGAAATTGATAGGTGCTTGATTAGTGGTATTTTTTTTTATTAAAGGGACACCTTTTCTTCCCAGTTAGCGTGTTACACTCTGCAGTGTGGCCCTTGGACCAGCAGCATTGGCACTACCTGGGAGCTTGGAAATGCGAAGTCCAGGGCCCACCCAGCCCTAGTAAGACAGAGTCTGTGGGCGTGGGGTCCGGCAATCTCTGTTTTTTTTGTTGTTGTTGTTTTATAATTTAATTAATTAATTTTTTTGAGATTTTAATTAATTTATTTATGTTTAGACAGAGGGGAAGGGAAAGGGGAGAAAAAGAGGAAAAGAAACATCCATGTGTGGTTGACTCTCATGCGCCCCCTACTGGGGACCTGGCCCACAACCCAAGTGTGTGCCCTGACTGGGAATTGAACTGACTACCCTTTGGTTTGCAAGCCAGAACTCAATCCACTGAGCCCCACCATCCAGGAAATCCATGTTTTAGCAAGCCTTCCCCAGTGGTTCCCAATCAAACTCAAGTTTAGGCGACTCCGGTTTACAGAAAATCTAGATGTCTGCAAAGTTAGGAAGAGACAAGGGAGCAAACCCCACCCAGAGGATTTAGGGCAAGTCTCTCCCCTCTGCACACTGGGGAAATCTAGCCTTCCTGGAGATTTCCGCCTCTGTTCCAAGATCTGCCCTCTGGAGCTGTCTGCACAAAACCTTTGTTCCTCCCCTTGGAGGAACCCTTGGAGACTAATCCAAGGATTAGAACCTGTCACTTCATTGTCTTCTGATTGCCGAAGCTCCCCCCTCCCCACCGAAGGTGACAGCGACACCTGCAGTATTACAACCAGAGCCATTTAACAGCCTCCTGGCACTGGACTGCATATTCCACGTGCACGATTTTAATTTTTCCAACAACCCTAAGAAGCAATTATTATTACCCCCTTTTAACAAATGAAGATGCTGACACCTAGATCGAAGTCTCTCACCTAAGAGTACACTGGAGACTAGCAGAGTTCACACAGGCATTTGCATATATAACCATACCTGGGCATTTTTCAGTTTGTCAGCAGCCCTCTTAACAAAAAGCAGTCGGGATGGAAAATGTACAGTGAGGAGACAGGAAATCACCTCCTTTCTATTGAGGCTGTGCCTTTGTTAATCTGTCCCAGAGTAGGGCTCACTGGTTGCTTTTCTTTAGCAGACACGGTGCACTGATAGAGAGCCTTGCTGGGTGAAGGGAAAGGGAGCAGCAAGGCTACTGGGCTGCAGCAGGGAGCTCACCAGTCTGGCAGCAACTCTTTAATCTTCTCCGTCAGTCCTAGGGAAGGGTCCAGCTGGAGGAACCAGGCGAGCTGGATGGCACTGAAGAGGAAGAGCCAGCTGAGGGGGCTGGCAGGGAACACACCAGTGAGAAAGTCGTTCTGTGGGGAAGAAAGGGCATGCATTCGATCCCATCCTCTAAGCACAGTCCTGCGGCATGGACGGGGCACCCAGCGTGTGCTGGGTCCTGAGCTGGGTGAAATCGGGAGGAACCCATGAGAGCCAGACCAATCAAAGATGGAAGCGAAGCATGAAACTGACCACACAATGATCCCAAACCCCCCTACATGCTCCCTTTGACACCTCATCATGTCAAAGGACACACCTGGGAAGCTGGTGCATACTCTGCTGAGCTCCCCCCCCCCAATATCTCTCCTAAAACTCCCACCTTCAGATAAGAGATAAAAACCTTTAAGACAAAGGACCCAGTGTACACTCCCCCTTGCGCACATCCGTACCCGCCCCCTTTCCTCAGGCACGTACTTTTGCTTTCTCCTAAACTCTAGCGGTCCCCATGAGACTTCCATCCAGGGGAGCAGTGGGCAGCGGCAGCTCACCCCCTGAATCTGTCTCCAAGGCCCCCCTTTTGCATTTGTGGTGTTTCCTGTGCCCACACGGCACAGCGTAGCTCAATGCCATCATTGCAACTCATTTCCTGGGTCCACACGGCCCGGCACGGCTCACGTCCTCTACCTCCGTGACTTCCCTTCCTTCATCAGGCAGCCCAGCCAAGGCTCACTCCTGTTGCTGTGATCTGGCTTCTACCTTAAGCCCTTCCTTTGTTCCACCGCCTGGAGCTCCTGTAAATATCCTCTCAACATCACCTGGACTCGTGTCTGAAATTTTTCCTCCATGAATGTAGCAACCCACACATTCCAGATCGTGCCAGGACAGAGACCTGCCTCAGTCTCGGTCCCTTTGTGGTGACAAAGAAACTGAGAAGGAACTTTGAAGAACTCACCCAAGGCCACACAGCCAGGAAGTGGGGGAGCTAGGGTTTGAACCTAGGTCCTCTGGCTCCAAAGTCCACTATCAACCAGTCAGACCATTGGATGCCTTGGGACCCTAATGCAGCGGGATGCACAGTCGCTACAAGATGCAAACCTCTGAGGTCTATTGTGTCTCCGAATCTGGAACCGTGTCCTCTTGCTGCTGGACGACCTGTTATGTGCTGGATACTATGCCACGTGCTTGGCCCACTTCCCATAATTCACCACAACCCTCCGGCACAGGTACTGGGACTACATTCTAGAAAAGCAGCCCGGGACAGTGGGCATTGTCACGGCTCTAGAAGCAGACTGCCTATTCGGGCTCTGCCGCTAGTTCTGCGTCTTAACAGCTGTGCGACTTTGGTAAAGTGAAAGCACCTCTCTGGGCTTCTATTTACTCGTCTGTAAAATGGGACTAATGTAGGTCTACCTTAGAAGGCCCTGATAAACAGTGGAGTTAGAGGGCTTGGTCCGTGTAGAGCGGGGGACACAGTGCTAACTCATGTGATTTTTTAGACATGAGGAAGCAGCCCTGGCTGGTGTGGCTTCACTGGTTGGGGCATCATCCCAATGGAAAGGTTTCAGGTTTGATTCCCAGACAGGGCATGTGCCTAGGCTGCGAGTTTGCTCTCTGGCCCAGGTGCGTATAGGAGGCAACTGATCGTTGCTTCTCTCTCACCTAAATGTTTCTCTCTCTCCCTGCTTCTCTCTCTAAAAGTAATGAATGTCCTTGGGGAAGGAGGGAAGGAAGAAGTCACCATGCCAGAGGTGACACAGCCCCTACATGGCACATAAGAATGGCAACACGGCAGCGGTCACTTCTGTGAGCCAGGCCCTCTGCTTAGAAAACCAATGCTAATAATACTCGAGGCAGCAAGGTCAAGGTTCCCATTTGAGAGATGAAAACACTGAGGCTTGGCGATGAGGCTGTGGAATCACAGCCCTGGTGTTGCTGAGGCCACAATCCTCACCCTGGGACCACCCTGGGACCACAGCTTCGGGGTGGCTCCTGGGGTCCCAAAGTAACAGAGGAAGGACATCAGAGCTCCAAGTGGCCACTGGGGAGATGGGGGGCTATGGGATAGAAAGAAAAGAGTGATTGTTATCACAATTAGCATTTAATATTGATGTGAAGATCTGGTGTAGGCCGTTGGCCGTAGAGACATTTGACTCTGCAAAGGGATTCAGGTCTTTCCTGTTAGGCAGACGTGACAGTCAAAATCCTTGACAATGCAGTTCCAGTCCAAGTCCATCTGTGAGCAGAGAAATTAGAACAGTGGCTGCCTTGCAGTGATGGGGAGGTGAGTGGGTGGGCAGGGGGAAACGCTGAATGGAAAAGAGCTCAAAGGAACATTTTCAAACGGCCGGTAATGCTACTTCTGTGGGGTGTTTACAGAAATGTTGTGAAAATTCACTGCACACTTAAAAAAAAAATCTGTGCATTGTTCTGGATGTAATTATGTCTTAGTTTCAATGTATATGCCTATTGTTCCTCTTTTTAAAAAGATTTTATTTATTTATTTTTAGGGAGCGGAAGGACACAAACATCAATATGGGGTTGCCTCTCAGGCGCCCCCTACTGGAGACCTAGCCTGTAACCCAGGCACATGCCCTGACTAGGAATTGAACCCATGACCTGTTGGTTCGAAGGCTGGAATTTGGCCCACTGAGCCACACCAGCTGGGGTTGTTTTTTTTTCTTTCTTTCTTTCTTGCAAGTAGAACTCCATGAGTGAAGGATCTGTCTTGCTCCCTGTAGTATCCTCAGTGCCCAAGTGTCAGGTCCAGAATAATACTCCACAGCTATTTGAATAAAGAACAATGTTCTCAAACACTACCACCACCCTGGCCGGGTCGGGTCGCTCAGTGGGTTGGAGCATTGTCCCCTACACCCAAATGCTGCAAGTTCAACTCCCAGTCAGAACACATTCCTAGGTTGTGGGTTCCATCCCTGGTCCCCTGCTAGGGCCCGGGTTTTTCTCTCTCACTTCTCTCTTTCTCCCTTCTTCTCTCTTTTTAAAAATCAATAAGCACATCCTTGGGTGAGGACTGAATAAAAAACAAAAACCCTAACACTTACTCAGCACTTGCCATAGGCCAGGTACATCGTCCAGTGCTTACCTGTAAGAATTCATTTTATTCTTGTGACTGTCCTGTGAGGAAGGGGCCGTCATTACCCCTGTTTTACATGTGGGGAAACTGAGGCTCAGAGACGAGGACTTGCCCAAGGCCACACAGCCAGTAAGTGGCAGAGCCCGGATTCACACCCAGTCCTGGCTGACCCCACAGGCGTTGGAAGAGGAGGTGGCCAGCAGGGAGATTCTGGATGTAGACAGTGGCAGAGTTCTAGAAGCAGGTGCCCGGAAGCAGACATGGGTTCTGGTCAGATGGTAGGCATGGGCTTTCTAGAGCCAGGAGGGAGCAGGAGTTGGGTGTTTCCAGAACTGGGAGGCAGGGTTTGTAGGGATGGAAAGCACAGAATACAAATACTCCTGGAACAGGGGCCTTTGGGCACCTTCTTGGGGTGTGGACTACTACCTAAGATCTTGACTGGATCTGGGGGCTCTGGAAAGGGGAGCACCTGGTTAAAGCCTGGGGAGGAAAGGAAAAGATGAGAAGTGTCCCCTGGGAAGGGGACTGAGTTCTAGAAATTGGGGTGGAAGTTGCGTTTGGGGGGCGTGGAAAAAGTGGAGGGGGAGATCCCGGTACTGGGTGGAAGAGGCAAATAGGGGCTCCCTGTAGGTGAGGTTGAGAATCCCTGAAGTGAGCCAAAGACCGAGAAATGGCTTTAAGGAGTCCAGGAAGTGGACCCGGAAGCAGGTAACTGGATTCCCGGAAGGAAACCAAGCCATAGTCCTCCTCACCCAGAACCGGGAGAGATGCCTTTTCCAAGAGCGCAGTCCGGACAGGTAGATCTCCCGCAGCACCGGACCACCGAGCTCCGCTTCCGCCCCATCCGAGGTCAGTGAGGGTCGGAAGCCCACAGCCTGGCGGGCTTCAGCCATGTCCCGCTAGATCCCTGGGAGGAGGACAGACGGTCATTCTCTAAGTCCCCAGACCCCTCCTTCCGCAGACCTAGGAATATAGGATTCCAGCTTCCCCTTTCGGAGCACCTGAGGAATCTTGGGGTCCCGGCCTTACGCTCATGTTGGGAAGGGACCTCAGCTGGGGAACCCATACAGAGGCGGGAAGGATAACGCGTGTTAACCCTTCTTGTGACTCTGCTCAGCATGTGGTGCGGGGCCAGCAACTCCCCTGACTACAGGACTTTCAAGATTGGGGGTGGAGGGTGAGTTACGAGAAAAAGATTAGTCCTAGACCCAGTTCGAAACGAACCCCTGCCGGACGCTGGCGCGGTCCACCCCATTTCTGTTTTCCATTCCAAGGCAGGAGTGGGGTGGGGGTGGGGGGAGCCGTCTCCAAATTCATCCGCGCTGGGGTGGCCCAGGGTCCCCTCCCCCTCAACCCGGGCTGGAGGGGATGGGGGAGGGAGCGCCCTACTGCGCATGCCTCGCAGCCAGGGATGCTGAGGCTGCGAGCCGAGGCAAGGTTCGAGGACAAGTGATGGAGAGGCTTCTGTACCCAACCCAATACACAGGCCTCCAGCCCCTGCAGGAGCTCGGGGCCCCTCACGTCCGGTACTTACTACGCTGAGTCAGGGGTCCGCCGATGGGATCCTGGGACCAAGCCCGAGTACACCTCCCTGACCCCCGAATTAGAGCTCCGGACCCGCCTCCTACTTGCGTTTGTCCAACCCAGGAGTCCAGGACTGGGTCGACGGACCTCCGGAGCTCCCGCCTGCCCCGATTACCCAACATCCAAGAACCCCGATGTCTCGCGTGCGTGCCTCCCCTGGTATTCGAGTGCCTGGCTTTATCCCCGCCCCCTTCCAATCTCGGCCTTCTATCCCCGCCGCTTCCTATCCATCAGCGCTCTACGCCCGCCCCCTTCTAGTCCCGGCGTCCAATCCGGTCCCCTCTGTCCCTTCCCTAGCCCCGCCTCCATCTACTCCGCCGGACTCGCCATTTGGCCTCCTCCGTTCTACGCAGCATCTGTCACCTGAGCCCCAGGTACTTGGGCTCCCCAGTCCGCTTTCTCTGAAGAAGCTCGCCCCGCTCTCTTCGGGGAACGAGGCTCCACTTGGAACTCACAGCCTACCTCTGGGGTACACTCAAGTCACGCCCGTGGGGTACCAAGCTGGACCTGGAGCGGAATCTCAGTCCTACCTTCCCAGAGAGGGAGAAGAGCTGCTCTGGGGCCGGATCGGTCCACAAAAACCACCTACGGAAGGTGTAACTGCGTGGACTGAGTTGGTGCGAAGGAGGTGCTACAGTGGATTGGATTCAAGTTAGACAAAAGCGAAAACGTGCATGACAAAAGGAAAAAATGTACTAGGGACCGGGCTCAGGATGGGGCATAGACTGAAACACAGAAATCACATCGATTTGGCTCAGGGCGTTAATATTCTCTGTCCGTGCTGACTCGGGTGTGCCCGAGTCCGGGCTGGTCACAATTCAGACGGGGCAGGGAGGAAGGATAGATGATCTCTGAGTGAGCTCATGTGGAATTGGAGCCCCCCAAATAAAAAGTTGAGATTGTGGTCCCAATACACAGATGGGTAAACTGAGGCCAAAGATGTGCCAATGTCACGCAGCATGCTGGGCCCTGGGCTGGCCTCCTTTCTGCAGGCCGAGTTCCTGGAGACCAACCGAATTAGGGCTTCAGGCCAGCCATGCGCCTGGCTGTTGGGGTCCCGGGGCTTTGGGGGACTTCTCCGAGAGTTCCTTGGTGTAGTGGAGACAGTATGTGATCTTGGAAAGGTGTTGCATTTGGCAACACCCTGGAAACAGGTCCCCCAGTTCTGGGAGACCTGGTGTTGGGGCACCTGGGGAGGGTGACAGGGTAGAGGACCGAGAACACACGATCTGGCCTGGAGGAAGCAGATTGCCTCCCCAGTCCTCCAGAAGTGAAGACCCCGGGGTTGCCCCCTGCGGCCGAAAGAGGCAACAGGAGGGAATGGGTGTGCCTGGGAAGTGTGCTGGGCCTGGCAGGCCTTGGGGCAAACTTCTGAGTAGAGCCACCCCTCTGTGGCGCGACCCCGCCCCATTCCCACTGGATAACCCCCTTCAGGGTCCGGGGCTGCTGTAGCTCAGTGGAGTTGGGGGCCAGTCCCCGCTTTCTGATACAACAGGCCGGATGGACCCTGACACCACCAGGGCAAGAACCCAAGTGCCGCCTCCTACACCGCTCCCGGAGCGCCCTCACGGTGTGCTGGGGTGGCGGAAGCTACAGCACCCCCCCACCCTTTGGTCAGGGGTGGGAGAGCTGAGCCTCCAGGTAGAGGATGTGCAACACGGGTCCCAGAGGAGGTGGAAGGGCCAGGGTCCTGGGTCAACCTGACCTCACCCTCAACCCTGGAGACTCCCGATTCTCAGAGCCCAGGGGACTTGTGGAGAGGGGTCTGGACAATGTAGGACAGGTGCAGAGAGTTGCCTGCAGATAGGGACAGAGGGAGTGAGGGACAGAGGGAGTGTGAGCCGCAGCTCAGCCAGCGCGGACACCATCGTGGTGAACAGGCCAGTGCAGGCGAGGTGCCCTCCAGCCTCGGGCTCCAACGATCCCGAAACAGACACAGGGAAAGCTGTGGAAACACACTACGTGCTGAGCAATCCTGGTTGTGCCAGGCAGTGTCCTGGGGACGGAGACGCCATGCCTGCAGTGGTGGCTGGACAGATGACCCTGGCGAGCTAGGAAGGTCAGCGGGGCCTGGGTGTCCACGGGAGGTGCAGGGGTGCTGCTGCCGAGATGAGACACCCCCCGCCAGGTTCCGAGCCAGGCCAGAGGAAGCAGGTACACCCTGCCCCTCGGAATTCTGTCCCCAACTGCAGAGGGCAGGGTAGCAGTCACAGACAACAGCCCCGGCGTGGCCATGGGGGGTCCTGAACAGCAGAGGGGAGTGACGTGTATTCAGGGAAGCAGGGAGATGGCCTTCTGGGGAACTTTAGGACCCAGCTGTCCCAGAACCAACACTCCAAGGCAGAACCGTGCTCAGTGGGGACATAGAGTAGCAGAACCCCAGGGGGTGAGAAAGGGAAATTGGGGGTACCTAGCCTCCACCCAGAGAGGGCTGGGATGAAGAGGCCCTGGGAGAGCGCTAAGGGGTGAGTTAGGATAAGACTCAGGACTCGGAGCAACAGACCAAGACCCAAGTGAGGAGAAGACGCGGCCCTCGCCCGCACACCCCCGGCTGCTCAGACGTCAGTGGGTGGAACCCCAACCCCACTTGGCCCCCAGGAAGCCAAGCTACCCCAGCTGAGGATTTATTGGCGTAAATGTAACCATATAAAAACATAAGTTATGAAAAACACAGTCACAATGTGCCCTCCCCCCAACCCCCCCACCCCGGGCCCAGGCCCCTAAAACTCCCTTCTAAGAAAGTGAGAACAAGGGGGGGCCCCGAAACCGCCTCAGAAGGCCACAGCCCCCGGGACCCGTGGCAGGCCCGCTTGGCTGGGGTGGGAGGGACCGGGCGCCATCTCAGCGCATCCGGTAGTCTGTGGAGCAGGACAGCTCACACAGCTGGCCCTTGAAGTCCAGGTCGATGGTGAAGTCCAGGTCGCGCTGTGGGGAGAGGGCAGACATGAGGGGCACAGGCCCAGCACAGGGGAGATGCCGTGTCCCACCAGCTGCCCACACGTGCACCCTGGAGACCCGGACTGCTGGGTGCACCCCCAGCAGCCATCCTGACCCTGACTCCTGGGGACCACTCCATGGGACAAGCTCAAACCCACCCACTCCCTCGCCACTCCCTCGGAGGCAGAACTCCACTCCGTCATTATTCCCCCACCAGAACCATTCCAATCAGTGAAAGTTATTTCTTTCCTACAGGAGAACCCCACCCCGCTCTGGCTGTTATGGCTCAGTGAGTGGAATGGGTGCCATCCTGCAAACCACAGGGTCACTGGGTTCAATTCCCTGTCGGGGCACATGCCTGGGTTGGGGGCCAGATCCCCAGCTGGAGCTGAGAGACAATTGCTGTTTCTTTCCCTCCCTCCCTCCCTTATCCTTTCTCTGAATATAATTAAGTAAAATCTTAGGAAAGGGAAAGAATGCCTCTTGCAATCACACTTCCTCTTCTTGAAAAATCTGACAGCAGAACTTACTGCCCCTACTTCCACGCCTTCCAAGCTTCCTGGGAGCCTGGTCTGTCCCGTCCCCCGCACTCCCTGGAAGGGCTGGATCAAGTCACCAAAGACCTCCGGGACCTCTTACTCCAGGCCTCTTGCTCTGACCTCCCCATCCCGGGTCAGTCTCTGTCTCCTTGGTTTGGGTTTTCTTACCCTCCAAGCCCCTGACATCTGGGGCCATTCTGCATCTGGGGCACCCCCAGCCTCCACTCACCAGAAGCCAGGAGCACCCCTTCTCCAGGCTGAAACCACCCCAATGTCTCCAGGGACCAGGGTCCTCTGGGGTACAGCAAGACTGTCCCTGGTTGCAAGCCCCTGCTTTAACAGGCCTATCTTCCTGACTTGGAAAGTGGGTGTAGCTGGGGCCACGCCCCTCGGTCCAGGCTCCCTGAGCTTGCTCCAGCCTCACACACTGGTCTGAGGGTACTCCTGGCACAGACCGCTGCCCACCACCGCCCGGGAATCCTGCCCGCCCCAGCTGACAGCTGTGTCTCACCAAGTGCCGAGGAGGAATAACCGGCCTTCCCTCCATCCCTCCACCTGGGCTGGGGCTCTGAAACTCGCCCAGGCTCTCTCCTGGCCCAACCCTTCACATCTCGACACAGCGCTGACTCCAGCTATCATTTACTGTTTGACTACGTGCCCTGTCTAGACTGGGACCATCAGGAGGACAGGGTTCAACCTGACCATGACTGGCTGGGTCCCCAGGGCCCCACTTCTGGTAGCCACTCAGTATAACCCCTGTTCCATAGACAGACTCCAAGAGCCGCCCCCAAATGGGCGGGGACACCTCCCCTCCACCCCCGGCTGCCCCAGGCCTCACGTTATTCTTGGCGTTGGGCCGCATGCCGATGGTGCCGAAGATCTCCTCGCCCGTCTTCACCGTCAGGTAGTCCTCCATGTAGAAGACCGTTTGCTTCCAGTGCGTGTACGGGGACTCGGGGCCTGGGGGCGGGGTCTGGTCAGCCCAGCCAGGGCCAGCCCCCCACCCTCTGCCCCCTCTGCCTCTGCCTCGCCCTTCCCCCTGCCTGGCACACGTCCCACGTGACTGTGTACTGATTGCTGATCCCGGTCGCCTTGCCCCCGCATCCCCTCACCCTCCTCATGCCTCGGGGGGACCTGGCTGGGTTCCATGGGCCAGGGAAGTAGGCACAGCACGCGCTCCGGTTGGCCGGCGGAGCGGGTGTGGGTGCTCGGGCCCTCCTGTCACCCTGGGGGGCTCCCCCTGGCTGTGGCCGTCGCCCTCCCGCTCCCCTTGACCTCACTGGTGGAGAAGCCGGTCCTCTTGTGGCAGCGGGTGAACTCGATGTTGAAGTAGGCCACCAGGGCGTGCACGTAGTCGTTGCGCTTCACTTGCAGGCAGAAGGGAGAGGTGAAGGTCAGGTCTTCCACCTTCACGGTGTAGATGTCCACCTCCTGCGGGACAGGCCCCATGAGCCCGGCTCAGCAACACGTGGCCCGGTGTCCAACAGCAAGCGTGGGGTGGCGGGGGGAGGCAGGGAGTGGGGGGGGGTGCACCGGGCCAGACATCGGGTTCCCTGTTCCCTCCTCTCCCACATCCACACCTCAAACCTGACGGCTGGCGTCCTGGACCTACTGCTCGACTTGAACCCTCCCCGGGAAATACACCTGGCCCTTCGGTGGCCGCCTCACAGGAGTCCCTGCTTCCACCCCCCCACACACCCCTTAAGTGGATGTCATCTATCAGCCAAAGCGACAATTCTAAAACAAGTCAATCAGATCATGCCAAGCCCCCACTTAGAACCCTCTGGTGACTCCTGGACACACTTGGCACAAAGCCGTGGTTCTGACGCAGGACGTGGGGGCGGGCCCAGGTGGGCCCCTGGTTCTGCCCGCATCATGCAAGTGACGTGTGGGATGTGACGGGGAGGGGCACAAATGATCGCAGTCGCAGTCCTCTGTCGGCCCGGATGAACTCTCTCCTGGCTCCCGCTTCTTGCATTTTGGCTCACCCAGGAGGATGAGTCTGGCCTGCGGGCCTCAGTTGCACCCTGTGGAATATGGGCCCCGGGGCAGGGCCAGCCCCTCTCCCTGGGTTCCACCTCGGAACCCACTGGCCCTGGTCGGCTCCCAAAGCTTTACAACGGACACACGGCTTCCCTGGGCCTCTAGCATCACCCTGGCCGCCCGGTCAGGCACCCAGGACTTCCGGCCAGCACTCTGTGCCCTGACATCTCCCATGTGGGACAAGCGCTGGCCTCTCCTTGGTTCCAACCCTAGGGGGCACTTGGCCACTCCCATCTGCTCACCTTTATGAGGCAGGCATTGGTGACCAGCTGCTTGGGGTCGACCACATCTACCAGGGGCTCCTTGATGGCCACGTCTTTGATGCAAGACATGTCAAAGCCATATACGTTCTCCCACCCTGGGGAGTGGGGAGGGGGGTGAGCACACCAGGGCGCCAGGCCAGGCAGGTAGAGCCTGCCAGCCCCGCCCCACCCCGCCCGCCCCGCCCCACCCCACCCCAGCACTCTCCCGCCCGGCTCACAGTGGATCTTGTAGTCTTTGTATTGCCGGTCCTCGATGGCCGTCACGTACAGGGTGGCGCGGTCTGGGAAGATGAGACCATCGGGTGCCTGTGGAAGGGTAAGGTGAGGGTGTGAATGAACGGTGCAGGGGCCTTGGCCACACTGCCCCCAAAGCTCTCTGGTTTGGTCCCTCTCTCCACCCCCTCTGCCCCACTCTGGCCTGAGCCACGACACTTCCCACCTGGGCTCCTGTGGTGGCCTCACACCTCAGGCCCTTTATCCCCTTACAGCTGAGCCTACCCCATACGGCTGCCAGGAGGCGCCCAGAAGCACTAAGTCAGAGCCCTCCCTGGCTCCTCCTGAGGACAAGGCAAAGTCTCAGGAGAGTCCAAGAGGCCCCTTCCCCCCTCCCCTCTGACTTCACCTCCCGTGGCTCCTCCAGACCCTCATTCCAATCTAGTGTCCCTGCTGCTCCCCAACACACAGCCGGCAGGCTCCTGCCCCGGGACCTTTGCACTGGCCGGAATGCCCTGCCCAGCCCCTTCTCCTCCTCAGATTCAGAACTTGTGCCACTGGTCAGGTCTCAGTCACCCCTCTTGAGGGCCCGAGAGGCCCACGGCTCGCCTCTGCCCTGCTCCAGTTTCCTTCCCAGCACCACCTCCTTCTCGACTCCACCATACCCTTGTCGCCGTCTAGCTTGCCAAGCCTGCCACCCTCCCCTCTGGCTGTGAGCCTTCCATCACCCGTGCAGTCGGTCCCCTGGGTGAGGTCCTCTGTGTGGGGAATGCCCAGCGTGGATTTATTTCCTGCTTGGCCCCCGACTGACACACACGACCAACTCCCTAGGGACCCCCGCCCACTATTTCCGCACTGACAGGGCCTCACCAGCCACTTGTCTCGGGCATAGAGCACGGTGTTGAGCATGGACTCGTAGAAGAGACAGTA